GCAGACTAGGATGGGTGATTTTGAAGGACCCTGCAATATAATCCATTAATACAACAGTATACATAGCAGACTAGGATGGGTGATTTTAAAGGACCCTGCAATATAATCCATTAATACAACAGTATACATAGCAGACTAGGATGGGTGATTTTGAAGGACCCTGCAATATAATCCATTAACACATGACATCAACAGTATACTTATAATCCATTAATACAGACATAGGACTAGGATGGGTGAATTTTGAAGGACCCTGCAATATAATCCATTAATACAACAGTATATTTTGAAGGACCCTGCAATATAATCCATTAATACAACAGTATACATAGCAGACTAGGATGGGTGATTTTGAAGGACCCTGCAATATAATCCATTAATACAACAGTATACATAGCAGACTAGGATGGGTGATTTTGAAGGACCCTGCAATATAATCCATTAATACAACAGTATACATAGCAGACTAGGATGGGTGATTTTGAAGGACCCTGCAATATAATCCATTAATACATGACATCAACAGTATACTTCGCAGACTAGGATAGGTGATTTTGAAGGACCCTGCAACATAATCCATTAATACATGAAATTAACTACTTTGATAAAGCAAGTAAGTGTGAAGGATTCAATTGGGACTATTCTGGAGGTTGAATGATTGAAAAAATTAAATGTAACACAATTCAAATATAGAACAAAAACCCTGAAACAAACCTTTATATAGGCAGGACGTGAGTCAGCGTGACTATCGGATCCAGACGACAAACGTGCAACACTGAACACGTTAGCCACACGAGTTTAATAGTTGATCTCTCCTCTCCATGTCTGTTTAGTTATCAAAAGGCTATTGTTTGTGTGTATCAAATTCTTGTGGACATGATCTTTTCATGTTACCCGGTTTTCTGACAGCGAAAGTGTGGTTTTATTTACGTTCGTCGTCTGCCGGTCTGAGGACGGCTTTACTTTATTTTGAATTTTCTTTTTACTCAACTTCGCTGACAAAGTTATCTCCCTTAGACCAGTAACTTCAGAGTAGTTTAGAAACTTTGCAATACAGAATCTTTCAAACACGCAAATGTTCTTTTGCATGACACAGCATTTTAGATAAAATGACGGCGATAACCAGAGGACAAATCATATAATTAAGCCATGATGTATTCAGTTCAGTCGCTATTGGCATTAACATAACAAGAGGCCCAAGGGGCCATAACGGTCACCTGAGGAATATATGTCAATAATCTGGGGATTTTAAAATGTTGCAAAAATGTAACAACACTTGTGCAGGACTGTATGTAAAACATCTGTACCAAGTTTGAACATGATCCATCCAGTGGTTTTTGAGAGGAAGTCCAAAATGTCTTAGCCAAACAGAGGCCAAGGTGGCCATCTTGGATTTTGCATTGCCCCAAAAAGTTAAAACACTTGCCAGGACCTTGTGAAGAACATTCGTATCGTTTAGACATGACCAACCCAGTGGTTAATCTGACTGTTGGTTCATGCGAAGAAGATGTTTAAAGATTTACCTAATTTTACCCCCTTTTTCCCCTCCTGGGGCCCCTATTGGGGCCACGCCCTTTTTCTTCGCAAACTTTGCGGCTTCCCATGGGGATGCTTTGTGCCAAGTTTGGTCAAAATCCATCCACTGGTTCTTGAGAGGAAGTCATTTAAAAGTTTTTACATATGGCCCCTTTTACATCCCTTATGGGCCCCAAAGGGGATATAATCACTTTTTTCAACTTAATTTCATATGTTCTTCACTAAGGGATGCTTTCTACCAAATTTGGTTGAAATCCGTCAAAGTTGAATTTTTGACACTTTTGAGCGCCCCTTAGTGGGGCCGTTTTTGACCTGATTTTTTTTTCATTCGCAAACTTTGTAGACCTTTCCATAAGGACCCTAAATATCAAATATGACTTAATCTGACTGCTGGTTCATGAGAAGAAGATTTTTAAAGATTTACCTAATTTTACCCCATTTTTCCTCTCCTGGGGCCCCTATTGGAGCCATGCCCTTTTTCTTCGCAAATTTGAAGCGGCTTCCCATGGGGATGCTTTGTGCCAAGGTTGGTCAAAATCCATTCAGTGGTTCTTGAGAACTCAGGTGACCTAAAAATGGTATTAATGTATAAGTCTTTATCTAAATCATCAAAAGATAATTGGTAATAAACATTACAAAATAGCCGACAGGCAACCATCTTGGATTTTTTTACATGTTTTACAACCTGCAACAATTTTATTAAGTTGCTGCAGAATACTACTCCTTCTTAATGACTCGGTAGATTTCAACCAAATTTGATCCGAAGCATTGTAAAAAATCCAAGATGGCTGCCTTTCAACTATGTCGCACCCAAAATCAAACGGGAAAAACTTGACACCACACGAAACTTTTTGTATGAAATCTGAGAGAAATCCATCGAAAACTTCTCAAGAAATATTGATAATAAACTTTCATTGATAAAGGTGCTAAAGAGTTTAGGGGAAATAGGTCACCATTAGACTTCGTCTCATTTCAACTAAATTTTTTCTTTAACAATTTTCCCACTGAGAAATCAACCGGCAAGAAGGATTCTCATCCAATCACAAAGTTGATAGTATTTCCACATGAGAAATTTTTAAATATCCTTAGTCTAGGTAGTTTTTTTCAGACAAATTGAATAGTACGTCACTTACAGAAAGTTACAAATACCATCAGTCTAGGTATGTAGGTAATTTGGACACAGTTCACAGCACCTCACTCAGAAAATTACAATTATTCTCTGTAGTTCATTCAGAAAAAGTCCACTGCACCTTGCTGCAAGAATTTACAGCTTTTTGTTTTATCTGGGCAGTTAATTTTGACAAAGTCCACTTCACCTTACATCAAGAATTTACTTGTACTTTTTAATCTAGGTAGTTAATTTTGACAAAGTCCACTTCAACTTACTGCAAGAATTTACTTAAACTTTTTAATCTATGTAGTTAATTTTGACAAAGTCCACTTCACCTTGCTGCATGTATTTACAACAATTTTTCATCTCGGCAGTTAATTTGGACAAACCCACTTCACTTTGCTGCAAGAATTTACAACAATTTCTAATCTAGGTTGTTAATTTGGACAAAGTCCACTTCACCTTGCTGCAAGTATTGACAACAATTTTTCATCTCGGCAGTTAACTTTGACAAAGTCCACTTCATCTTACTGCAAGAATTTACTTATACTTTTTAATCTATGTAGTTAATTTGAACAAAGTCCGCTTCACCTTGCTGCAAGAATTTACAATTTTTCATCTCGGCAGTTAATTTTGACAAAGTCCACTTCAACTTACTGCAAGAATTTAGTTTTAATCTCGGCAGTTAATTTGGACAAAGTCCACTTCACCTTACAGCAAGAATTTACAATTCTTAATCTAGGCAGTTAATTTGGACAAAGTCCACTTCACCTTGCTGCAAGAATTTACAACAATTTTTAATCTAGGTAGTTAATTTTGACAAAGTCCACTTCACCTTACAGCAAGAATTTACAATTCTTAATCTAGGCAGTTAATTTGGACAAAGTCCACTTCACCTTGCTGCAAGAATTTACAACAATTTTTAATTTCGGCAGTTAATTTTGACAAAGTCCACTTCACCTTACAGCAAGAATTTACAATTCTTAATCTCGGCAGTTAATTTGGACAAAGTCCACTTCACCTTGCTGCAAGAATTTACAACAATTTTTAATCTAGGTAGTTAATTCGGTCAAAGTCCACTTCACCTTGCTGCAAGAATTTACAACAATTTTTAATCTATGTAGTTAATTTGGACAAAGTCCACTTCACCTTGCTGCAAGAATTTACAACAATTTTTAATCTAGGTAGTTAATGTTGACAAAGTCCACTTCACCTTTCTGCAAGAATTTACAATTTTTAATCTAGGTTGTTAATGTTGACAAAGTCCACTTCAACTTACTGCAAGAATTTAATTTTAATCTATGTAGTTAATTTGGACAAAGTCCACTTCATCTTACTGCAAGAATTTACTTGTTCTTTTTAATCTAGGTAGTTAATTTGGACAAAGTCCACTGCAGATTACTTAAGGAAATTACAAAATTGTAAACTAGGTTATTTATTTGGATATACTTGATAGCATCTCCTTCCAGGAAGTCAGAAAATATTATTCATCTAGGTAGCTACGAGGACAATGTTCACTACATACTACGCCAGATTACAAATATCCTTCACCTTAGCAGTTTATTTGGATAAACTTAGTAGCAGCTTACTCCTGGAATTTACAAATATCAATCTAAAGGTTATAATTATGCAGTCAGTCCCTTGGATCATTAACCAGTTACCTCACACAATGGCTCCAGGTTACTTCTTCAGACATCTGTATAAGTATCATTGCACTACCATTACTGGCTTGGGTTACACATACTTAAACCATAGCAATGGTTCATCACCATACAGTTTTTGTTTAATAAGAGTTTTTTTCTTTTTAGAAATCAGGTGACAAAATGTAATTTTAAGTTTAATAAACATTTATCAGATGGAGTGCACCACAGAAAGTGTTAAGTTACATTATAGCTAGATTTCACTCTTGTAATTCTGAATTGCCATCTACCAGACAGACTGTATCTTAAAATGCCATCTACCAGACAGACTGTATCTTAAAATGCCATCTACCAGACAGACTGTATCTTAAAATGCCATCTACCAGACAGACTGTATCTTAAAATGCCATCTGCCAGACAGACTGTATCTTAAAATGCCATCTACCAGACAGACTGTATCTTAAAATGCCATCTGCCAGAAAGAATGCACCAGTGTTAAAAGCTCAGTTTCAATTGTAACAAGGAATGCTTAGGTGCTTATTTAAAGGCATGTTTTAATTAATAAGTTAAATATACATTAATTAACTTCTCCTTTGTGACAAATGTCGTGATGTGTAAGTCGTTCACACACTTTTCTCCCCCATGAGAATTTTAAAAGTTGGCAGGTTAACACATTCGGTCAAAACAGAATACACAGTACAAACAAAAAGAGCTCAAATATCACATTTCTTTATTAACGCATAGAAAGAACAGAGGTACTTATGCAAGATGTATACAGATATATAAACTGTGTGCTGGTATAAAAAAAAGTTATCCTTATTAAAACAAGTTTATTATATCCCACTTAACATACATAAGTATGTCTCACGGTTGATAGAAAAAATTTATGTAGTCAAGCAAAATGTTATGAAGATGTGAGGTAGGATAATATAAAAATATAAAAGACATGATACTTGATTTCTGAAACATTTAACAGGAAAAAAAATCAAATACTCTTTACTGTTAAGAGTTAAAATCATTTGAGACAGTTCAGATTAAAACATTCTAATAAAAAAATAAGTGAAAAATAAGTAGAAAAATGGCCCCAAAAACTGACAAGAAATGTAAAAGCAAAGACAGTATACTCAAAAATACACTCATGATATTATCAAATGACTTACAATTCTCCAAGGAAAGATTCAGAATACAAACAAATCTGTTTCTAATTCAAATAAATGATCAACTAGTTCACACAATAAATGTTTGCTCAAAATACAGAAAGTGACTAAAATATAATTTTCTTCATAAAAGACATGCCATTTACAGTCCCTGTACTACTGCAATTAAACACTGAGATTAACTACAACAAAATATATATAATGTTGTAAATGTAGACTTTCTTAAAAACAGATTAATGATCATACAGTATTGGTAATGCTGATCTGAACAGAATTCACTGTCTTTGCCAAGGCCCATATGTACTGTACAAATAACACAGTCGCTAAAACCTCATTACAATCCCCATACTTCACAAGACTTGGACATTCACAGTCACAGTGCAGTTTCTGTTATTCTTATCATCAAAGTTTGACTAAAATAAAAAAAAAATAAAAATGTAAGTTGAGGAGTCTTGTTACCAAAGGTAACCCTGTTTTAATACAGAAAACATCTTGTTTGGCAGCTTGAATGAAAATGTCTTCATCATAATATTTACAGGTCCAAATTTGACTTAATTCCAGAACAGATTTTTTGAATACATATGTGTTCCTGGTTTAATTACAGCCCCTTCGTCGCCGGGTCACCAATCGTCGTAGTGCTTTCTCCAAGTCTCTTGTCCAAGGCATAACTGTCACTTGGTCATCCAGATGCAGTGTTTTGATGTCCTTTTCGTATGCTCCTTCATATGCAAAAATCAGCACTTTACTCTCTGTAAAAAAATGTTTGTAAATAATTCAATTGATCATTAAAGAAATATTGTAATTATAAGAATACCTTGTATTATCTCCCTTTAAGCTATTACACAGTGATGATTGATTTGGAACAAAAGTACTGTAGGGCAGAGCAATATATGTCCCTCCCATGCTGAAGAAATATGATTAATTACAAAGAAAAGGATACAAATATGGAACTGGTAATAATGAGTCAAATGTCAAGGATATATAACAGTGTTATGTGTTATAAGAATAAAAAGATGAGGGAAAACTGAAAGGAATCTCTACACAAGATCAAAATGCTGAAAAGAACAAAGGCCCAAAATTTTTTTTGAAATGTAGTAAAATCAAAATGCTGTTTACGAAAACACAATGTCAGGTTATGGTATTAAAGTCTGCCAAGTTTCAAAGACTGAGAAAGGAAATATCTGGATAATATAAAATATTAATAAACAAAGGGCAATAACTCTTTCTAAAAATTTAATACTATGATGCCGTTATCAAAAACAGGCTTTCATGTAAGTGATTAAGCCTAAATAGTTTCAACAAAAGTGCTCAAAATTTGAGAGGAAATTTCCACAAAAGATTAACATTACAAAATCAATAAGGGACAGTAACTCTCCCTTAGAGTTCCTCCAGGAATGAAGCTACTTTGAACACTGACAATCAATCAGAGATGCAGAGGTGTACGGACAGAGAGGAAATATATTTGGAGATAAAAAGGCAAAAGATGGCAAAATTGGTTTAAGTTCTTTATCCATCATTTTTATCCTTTTGTCAACTCTTCAGCAATGAATAAAATCCTTACCTGTTGTTGGCAAAGAGTCACACACACAGTCTCCAAGGTCATATTCAGCAAAACCATTGATTTTTGTCTTCCTCTTTGTTCGCATGTCCCCATAAATTTTCATAGAGTATTTTCCGGTACGTCCTGCCACTGCTTTGTATACTGAAATAATCAATGTAAGATTTAATGATTAGATAACATTATCATCAAGTTAAAACAAGAGATCCCATAGGAATTTTAGCGTCCATTATTGCTACATCTTCCTGTGTTTTTTAAAAAATGGATCTTTTCCCTTCTTTTCTCTTATTTATACAAAATTTGAGAATTCTTCTCAAGAAATACCAACAATACCATTATTTGATCTTTATTTGCTTTTTGAAATTGGATTTTTTCCCTTTTTTCTCATATCTTATCTCATTCTTAATGACAAAAAATTTAATGTTCTTTTGCAGAAATAGCAATGATAATCTTTAGCTGCTAAATCCAAGAAAGTCACCTCAAAGCCATTTTTTTCTTTCTGATCAATCCCAAAATCAAACAGGCACAAGTAAAAATTAATGGGGACCTACATATGAAATTTGAAATAGATCAATTCAGTACTTCTAAAGAAATAGCAATAACAATCTTTCAATGTCAAAATCTAAGATAGCCATCTGTAAGCCATCTTTTTTAAGCAGACTCAACATTGAAAGAGCACCACTCGAGACCAAGGGAAATCTACAAGTAAAATTTGTCATAATCCAAGATGGTCAGTTCCAAAATCAAAAGGGCACAACTTAGAACCACATGGAATCTACACATGAAGTTTGGGAATTATCTGTCTTGTACTTCCCCGAAATATAATGAAAATATTCAACAGAAATATAGTGAAAATATTCTACAGTTTAACTTCAAAATTCAAAAGATTAGCAAAACATCAAAAGGCCTAGTGGCCTTGATGATCCTCTGAGATAAGCAATATAGAATATAAAGGTTAAAGGATAGTTATCAAGTGTCATGAAACATGCATACCACCAAAACTGTCATCCTATACTGAGAATTCTTATAACATTATTTCCATTGAGAAATAACCAATGTCAGATAACAATCATTTGTCAGTCATTTTGTTTTTTGGGTCAGTCTAAAAATGGTACAACATCTACCGTGTCTAACAGTTCCTTTCATAACTATACAATCCTATGGTACAGTCAGCTAATTTAAACTTACCTTTATCAGATCCACAAACCAAATTCTTGAATTCCGCACTCTTTTTGTCAATGGTTGCATTTGTGCACAAAGGGCATGTCTGAAAAACAAAGCAGATAATAAACATTGAACCAATTCTTACACACCTAAAGTATTGTCTTCCATCTATACAAAGTATCCCAATGAGGATGTGAAATGTCTACTTTTGTTTAATATGGCAGACATGTGATATGTACCACAGTCCTCACTGAATCACAAAAACAGTAAAATCTGAAAGTTAAAAAAGAGAAAACAACAACAGATCAAAACACGAAGAAATCTCAAACCAGCTGATAACAGAAAATGAAATACATACATTGACAGTTTTGTGAAGTTTACCAAGCAGCATAGATTCCTAATAGGTAAGCCAGAATATCGTTATATCATAATAGACTTACTATGACTGGCTGTGCTGGACCTGCTCTTTCATCTGTAACACAACAAAATCACTACAATGTGAGGAAAACAAGAGGCCCATGGGCCTTAACGGTCATCTGACATAAAATACAAGATTTCAAATTTTGAACTTATTTCACCTAAATCTGCAATACAACAAATCACGAAAATGTAATGAAAAAAATATACATATTTTCCTTTTTAGTCTTGTGTAAAGGAGGACACGACTAAAAAAAACCCACAGACTTCAGTAAATGTGCTTTTTACCAAGAGTATTTCTGTCTGTAACAGAAGTTATTACTAAGGACAAGGAATCCAATAACACTAAATATCTCCAACCATGTTTGTGATGAGTAAGTTTACTTATACAAAGTTTAATACTGAAAACCTGCTGTTTTTGTGTGTGATTGACTTTTACGAATTTCTGGCCAAAGTAAATTGTGATAATTAATCATTGTTAATTAAAACATCAGATAATGAAGATTGATTTCCATAGTAACCATTTGTTGCTTTATAAAAATGATCATTTACCTACGTACAGTTTATCAAGAATCTATGTGTACAGTATATACAGCTTTAACATGTTTCGTAAATCTATGTTGAAATTCAGTGTTAAAGAGGACAATGTATTCCCTTGAGTGTTTGACTATGAAAATTCACATTTGGTAAATGAACCACTCTGATAGCGATCTGTACTGTGTTTGAATTCTATGACAGGATTAGATCACCTTTATACAAAGTCATGCAACATTTTGATCAACGTCCACATTGCTGTATAAACAAAGCCAGGAGACATCACATGAATTTCAAAGTTAGACAGATTCATCTCTTTGGGATTATTGTAACATTTGCTGTTAATAAGATGTCAAAAGTGGTTCTGATCTATTACGAGGTCAGTACTGACATCCCAGAAGCACCCCTGAAGATCACCTGTTGTGGCCAAATGAATGACTGGATATGGGGCTCTGTTGGGTTTAAATGAAGACCATGCACTTTGAATTTTACAATGGTGGCTCATAACTTACAAAAGTAAATCACCTTTAACTTGTTATATTAAGAAAGGTCGTTTACAGTGACTGTTTCTCATCAAAATTTTTATGGAAAAAAATATTATATGGACTTACCATCAGGAAGACCAATAGGAACTCGAACTTGTACTATCTCATCAACAGATGAAAAGAACACACCACGTAGGTACTGATCCACTGAGATTTCAGGTAATTCCTGTTTAGTTCCACAAGTCGTTTTCAAGCTGTACTGTATTACTGCCTGTAAGTCTACAAAAAGTATCAGTATTATACTGTGTCCACTATCTGCCTACAAAAAGCAATATGATGCCAGAACAATCAGTATTATACTGTATTACTATCAGTCTAAAAAATCCAGAGAATACCAGAATGGTAAGTATAAAACTGTAGTACTATCTGCCTACAAGAATCCAGAGAACACCAGAATGGTCAGTATAAAACTGTATGACTATATGCCTACAAGAATCCAGAGAATACCAGAATGGTAAGTATAAAACTGTAGTACTATCTGCCTAGAAGAATCCAGAGAACACCAGAATGGTCAGTATAAAACTGTATGACTATATGCCTACAAGAATCCAGAAAACACCAGAATGGTCAGTATAAAACTGTATGACTATATGCCTACAAGAATCCAGAGAATACCAGAATGGTAAGTATAAAACTGTAGTACTATCTGCCTAGAAGAATCCAGAGAACACCAGAATGGTCAGTATAAAACTGTATGACTATATGCCTACAAGAATCCAGAGAATACCAGAATGGTCAGTATAAAACTGTATGACTATCTGCCTATAAGAATCCAGAGAACACCAGAATGACCAGTATGAAACTGTATCACTATATGCCTACAAGAATGCAGAGAACACCAGAATGGTCAGTATAAAACTGTATGACTATCTGCCTATAAGAATCCAGAGAACACCAGAATGACCAATATGAAACTGTATCACTATATGCCTGCAAGAATCCAGAGAACACCAGAATAATCAGCATAAACTTGTATTACTTTGTCTTCAAAAATCCACAAAACACCAGAATGATCAGTTTAATATCATAATGGCATCACTAAATGGTTACAAAATCTAGAAAATACTAAAACTATCAGTATAATACCAGAACTATCAGTACAATACCAGAACTATCAGTTAAATACCAAAACTATCAGTATAATGCCAGAACTATCAGTATAATACCAGAACTATCAGTATAATACCAGAACTATCAGTACAATACCAGAACTATCAGTATAATACTAGAACTATCAGTACAATACCAGAACTATCAGTATAATACTAGAACTATCAGTATAATACTAGAACTATCAGTATAATACCAGAACTATCAGTATAATACTAGAACTATCAGTATAATACCAGAACTATCAGTATAATACCAGAACTATCAGTATAATACCAGAACTATCAGTATGATATCACCACCTGACAACAAAAATGAAGATAATACAAGAACTGTCTGTATATAATGGATTTATATATACAGCAAGTGTTAATATACACAGAAACAATCGAAACCATTGATATACTTGGTCTTGCCAAAACATACGTGCATCAACTATAAATATTATGAGTTCACGTCATACATTCGACAAACAGTGAGTTTTTCCATTCTAGATTCTTTAGAATATTATAATAATTCTGTTTTTGAAAAAGGCATGCCAATGTAAGGAAAACATTGATCATCTTACCTGTCTCATAGTAATCAAACACTTTGATGAATGCCTTCTTAGGATCTGACACTTCTATATCCTGTTCTACATCAAAGTAGAAACACTGGCCTGCAGAGTCAAACTGGATAAGGGAAATAACTCAAATGTAGGATAATGGTTTCCAAGGGTTTTATAATAGATTTGAATGGTCAGAAAAAAATTGTACTGGAAATTTGGCCTTTTTTTTTAAACGTAAGTAAAGGTAACAGAAATATTAAGCAAGTCTATAGCATGTCGCACTTGAGATAACTTCAATTGAAAACAAAATATTGATATTTGCCTTTCTTCACAAATAAAATCTGAAAAGAAAATTTCAAGTCAAATCTGAGCTGATAAAATAATGTCGGGTATATACCTTGTCAAAGTAGATGTGCACCATGTTGCCATCTTCTTCATATTTCTGAATGTCCAAGGCCTGATCATACACAAGCTTGAAAAAAAATATTGAAAAATATTTGTGAAAATTTCTAAACTACTATATTATTGGAGTAACTTTCAAAACATCCTTTAAAGTTACCTACCTGAGTCTACAAATAATTACTCATTTTTCAACTGTAACCATTCATTTCTTCACTGTTTTGCTAAGATTTGTTTTACACTTGCTAAGTATACATAGCTAAAAAAAAAACCCGAAAAAAAACAGAGTTTGTATGTACAGGTCCTTCACATATTTCCTACCCAGTGAAGCTACACAGGCTAGGACAATTTCATGTACCCAGTATTTATTTCTGGTCAATTCTGTTTATTGAGTTTTCCTGGTTTGATGATCCATGGGCACACCTGAGGGACTCCCAACAGGTAAAAGTGACCACAATGTAACTCTCTAGCTGGTTTCACTTTGCGTTATACACAAACCTAACTTTGTTGTACTACGCAATGTGTACACAATGTAAACATGATGAATAAACGGACAAGAATCTACAGGTTATCATATAAAATATTGGTGTAAATTCACGGTTATCCTGTCAGCAGTTCTGGATCACTTCCTTGATAATATGTACCGACATCTGAAACAGGTGTCGTTTGTCATGTGGTCCCTCTGCCCCGAGAGAGTATTAGGTTTTCTTAAAGATTACAAACCAAGGATAATTGCAATCGGTCTTAAAGTAAAAAATATCATGTTACAATAAGGCACTTGATAACACACTCGGAGGAACAAAACGCCATTAAAATAAAAAGTTCTTTGAAGAGACACTGGAGATCTGTAATGCACTAGACCTGTAATGCACTAGACATCTAATGCACTAGACCTCTAATGTACTAGATCTCTAACACACCAGACCTGTAATGCACTAGATCTCTAATGCACCAGACCTGTAATGCACTAGACCTGTAATGCACTAGATCTGAAATGCACTAGACCTCTGATGCACTAGACCTGTAATGCACTAGATCTCTAATGCACCAAACCTGTAATGCACTAGACCTGTAATGCACTAGATCTGAAATGTACTAGACCTCTCATGCACTAGATCTGTAATGCACTAGACCTGTAATGCACTAGACCTCTAACACACTAGACCTCTAATGCACTAGACCTGTAATGCACTAGACCTCTAACATACTAGACCTGTAATGCACTAGACCTCTAACACACTTGACCTGTAATGCACTAGATCTGAAATGCACTAGACCTCTCATACACTAGATCTGTAATGCACTAGACCTCTAACACACTAGACCTCTAATGCACTAGATCTGAAATGCACTAGACCTCTCATGCACTAGATCTGTAATGCACTAGACCTCTAACACACTTGACCTGTAATGCACTAGATCTGAAATGCACTAGACCTCTCATGCACTAGATCTGTAATGCACTAGACCTCTAACACACTAGACCTCTAATGCACTAGACCTCTAATGGACTAGACCTCTAATGCACTAGACCTCTAATGTACTAGCTCTCTGCACTAGATCTCTAATGCACTAGACCTGTAATGCACTAGACCTGATAATAATTTATGTTAAATATGTCTAATACTTGTTTACCTCTTGTAGAGTGGAAGTGACTGGAACCCAACCAGTGACCATCTTAATGTCGACTAAAGCCATGTTACTCACTCCTCCAGGTCCACTAAACCTGTCAAAGACCAATAGAATGTGTTATGATATATATTACCTTATTTGAACCTACTCTCATGCTAAACCAGACCAAAACATACAGAAAAAATAGGTCATTCACAATGCTCATTACACACAATCAAGATCCACATTTATATAGAGGGTTTGGGGAGTACTATGACACAGACTTATATTGAGGGTTGGGGGAGTACTATGACACAGACTTATATTGAGGGTTTGGGGAGTACTATGACAGACTTATATTGAGGGTTTGGGGAGTACTATGACACAGACTTATATTGAGGGTTTGGGGAGTACTATGACACAGACTGATATTGAGGGTTTGGGGAGTACTATGACACAGACTTATATTGAGGGTTTGGGGAGTACTATGACACAGACTTACATTGAGGGTTTGGGGAGTACTATGACACAGACTTATATTGAGGGTTTGGGGAGTACTATGACACAGACTTATATTGAGGGTTTGGGGAGTACTATGACACAGACTTATATTGAGGGTTTGGGGAGTACTATGACACAGACTTATATTGAGGGTTTAGGGAGTACTATGACACAGACTTACATTGAGGGTTTGGGGAGTACTATGACACAGACTTATATTGAGGGTTTGGGGAGTACTATGACACAGACTTATATTGAGGGTTTGGGGAGTACTATGACAGACTTATATTGAGGGTTTGGGGAGTACTATGACACAGACTTATATTGAGGGTTTGGGGAGTACTATGACACAGACTTATATTGAGGGTTTGGGGAGTACTATGACACAGACTTATATTGAGGGTTTGGGGAGTACTATGACACAGACTTATATTGAGGGTTTGGGGAGTACTATGACACAGACTTATATTGAGGGTTTGGGGAGTACTATGACACAGACTTATATTGAGGGTTTGGGGAGTACTATGACACAGACTTATATTGAGGGTTTGGGGAGTACTATGACACAGACTTATATTGAGGGTTTGGGGAGTACTATGACACAGACTTATATTGAGGGTTTGGGGAGTACTATGACACAGACTTATATTGAGGGTTTGGGGAGTACTATGACACAGACATAAATTGAGGGTTTGGGGAGTACTATGACACAGACTTATATTGAGGGTTTGGGGAGTACTTGAGGGTTTGACAGACTTATATTGAGGGTTTGGGGAGTACTATGACACAGACTTATATTGAGGGTTTGGGGAGTACTATGACACAGACTTATATTGAGGGTTTGGGGAGTACTATGACACAGACTTATATTGAGGGTTTGGGGAGTACTATGACACAGACTTATATTGAGGGTTTGGGGAGTACTATGACACAGACTTATATTGAGGGTTTGGGGAGTACTATGACACAGACTTATATTGAGGGTTTGGGGAGTACTATTTTTGACACAGACTTATATTGAGGGTTTGGGGAGTACTATGACAGACTTATATTGAGGGTTTGGGGACTTATATTGAGGGTTTGGGGAGTACTATGACACAGACTTATATTGAGGGTTTGGGGAGTACTATGACACAGACTTATATTGAGGGTTTGGGGAGTACTATGACACATATTGACTTATATTGAGGGTTTGGGGAGTACTATGACACAGACTTATATTGAGGGTTTGGGGAGTACTATGACACAGACTTATATTGAGGGTTTGGGGAGTACTATGACACAGACTTATATTGAGGGTTTGGGGAGTACTATGACACAGACTTATATTGAGGGTTTGGGGAGTACTATGACACAGACTTATATTGAGGGTTTGGGGAGTACTATGACACAGACTTATATTGAGGGTTTGGGGAGTACTATGACACAGACTTATATTGAGGGTTTGGGGAGTACTATGACACAGACTTATATTGAGGGTTTGGGGAGTACTATGACACAGACTTATATTGAGGGTTTGGGGAGTACTATGACACAGACTTATATTGAGGGTTTGGGGAGTACTATGACACAGACTTATATTGAGGGTTTGGGGAGTACTATGACACAGACTTATATTGAGGGTTTGGGGAGTACTATGACACAGACTTATATTGAGGGTTTGGGGAGTACTATGACACAGACTTATATTGAGGGTTTGGGGAGTACTATGACACAGACTTATATTGAGGGTTTGGGGAGTACACAGACTGACAGACTTATATTGAGGGTTTGGGGATTACTATGACACAGACTTATATTGAGGGTTTGGGGAGTACTATGACACAGACTTATATTGAGGGTTTGGGGAGTACTATGACACAGACTTACATTGAGGGTTTGGGGAGTACTATGACACAGACTTATATTGAGGGTTTGGGGAGTACTATGACAGACTTATATTGAGGGTTTGGGGAGTACTATGACACAGACTTATATTGAGGGTTTGGGGAGTACTATGACACAGACTTATATTGAGGGTTTGGGGAGTACTATGACACAGACTTATATTGAGGGTTTGGGGAGTACTATGACAGACTTATATTGAGGGTTTGGGGAGTACTATGACACAGACTTATATTGAGGGTTTGGGGAGTACTATGACAGACTTATATTGAGGGTTTGGGGAGTACTATGACACAGACTTATATTGAGGGTTTGGGGAGGAGTACTATGACACAGACTTATATTGAGGGTTTGGGGAGTACTATGACACAGACTTATATTGAGGGTTTGGGGAGTACTATGACACAGACTTATATTGAGGGTTTGGGGAGTACTATGACACAGACTTATATTGAGGGTTTGGGGAGTACTATGACACAGACTTAAATTGAGGGTTTGGGGAGTACTATGACACAGACTTATATTGAGGGTTTGGGGAGTACTATGACACAGACTTATATTGAGGGTTTGGGGAGTACTATGACACAGACTTATATTGAGGGTTTGGGGAGTACTATGACACAGACTTATATTGAGGGTTTGGGGAGTACTATGACACAGACTTATATTGAGGGTTTGGGGAGTACTATGACAGACTTATATTGAGGGTTTGGGGAGTACTATGACAGACTTACATTGAGGGTTTGGGGAGTACTATGACACAGACTTATATTGAGGGTTTGGGGAGTACTATGACACAGACTTATATTGAGGGTTTGGGGAGTACTATGACAGACTTATATTGAGGGTTTGGGGAGTACTATGACAGACTTATATTGAGGGTTTGGGGAGTACTATGACACAGACTTATATTGAGGGTTTGGGGAGTACTATGACACAGACTTACATTGAGGGTTTGGGGAGTACTATGACACAGACTTACATTGAGGGTTTGGGGAGTACTATGACACAGACTTATATTGAGGGTTTGGGGAGTACTATGACACAGACTTATATTGAGGGTTTGGGGAGTACTATGACACAGACTTATATTGAGGGTTTGGGGAGTACTATGACAGACTTATATTGAGGGTTTGGGGAGTACTATGACAGACTTATATTGAGGGTTTGGGGAGTACTATGACATATTGAGGGTTTGGGGAGTACTATGACTCAGACTTATATTGAGGGTTTGGGGAGTACTATGACACAGACTTATATTGAGGGTTTGGGGAGTACTATGACACAGACTTATATTGAGGGTTTGGGGAGTACTATGACACAGACTTATATTGAGGGTTTGGGGAGTACTATGACAGACTTACATTGAGGGTTTGGGGAGTACTATGACAGACTTATATTGAGGGTTTGGGGAGTACTATGACAGACTTATATTGAGGGTTTGGGGAGTACTATGACACAGACTTATATTGAGGGTTTGGGGAGCAATGTGATGGTTCTAGGAAGAGCTTATGATGCACATATGGACTGAGGGTTTCAGGTAGTGCTAACGATGTATGTATGTTGAGGGTTCTGAAAGTACTTACGAGGCACATATGTTGAGGGTTCGCCTTTTGCAGTCATTCCTCATGGTCTTGGAGCGGAATGCATTGATCCGTACATTGAAGGCAGGGCCGGCTGGGGCTTCATGTATATTGTACTTCATATTAGCCTGAGCATCAATAAACAATGATCAAATTTGATCTGATAGACTGCAAAATATTGCAAATCATGTATTCAAATATATAAGTATTTGCCTCTTGCAGTCACTTCCCTTTGTCTTGCAGCAGAATGCATTTATTCGTGTTCAATGAAAAAAGCAGCTGAAAACTGATTTTCAGCATGCCCTAATACCTCAATATACAAAATCCAGTAAAAATCAGACAATATCTAAATCTCAACCAAAAAGAGACCATAATGTGTCTCAGGATACTTGTCAGGACAATAAAATAAGTAGTGATATTTGGCATCCCCTTACATACCCATAAAAAAATTTAGACAAAATTAGATAATATCTAAATTTGGACCAATCAAGAGTCCAGGATTGTGTTGGCATAGTAACATTTTCTGAAATATGTAATGCATCCTACTATAGGTTGTAATTAAGTCTCTAAAACAAAGTACATCTCCATCTTGTACTAAATATTCCCAGACATTTGTGAAAAAAGATCTGTTGTTAACTGTGGAAGACAGACAGACAGACAGACAGACAGACAGACAAGGTGATTCCAGATTCCATAATGCAACCCCACCCCCTTTTCCCACATTTGTTGTGAGGGTATAATGATAACATGTCTGATTATCATAATTTTGAATTGCCTCGTAAAACAAAGAATTTAAGCATTATAAACATGCCTGATCACTTAAACGGTGTGATCTGTTTCACCTGGTTCATTTCAGCACTAGGTTTTTTCTGATTTCATGGCCTTACCTGCACAAGAGCACAGCCAACACCAGTGACCTCTACCTCCATCCCATCAGGAACAACCTCTAACTGTGATGATTGGTGGACAAGATTGTTGTCTTCTGTGATACTGAATGATCTCTCCTCATTTTCAATCCCTCTAAAAGTCACACCTAATCTCATCCCTCCCCGGTACACTAGCGTTGCATACACAGACAGGGCCTGCAGACCTATTACAGTATCCTGTAACAGACAGTATGTATACATAATTAGGGCCTGTATACTCATTACTTGTCTTTTAATATACAATACTAATTCATAATCAGGGTCTGCAGTTCAATTACATTGTCTTGTAACACAAAACATGTATACAAAATCAGGGCCTGCAGTTCAATTACATTGTCCTGTAACACAAAACATGTATACATAATCAGGGCTTGCAGTTCAATTACATTGTCCTGTAACACAAAACATGTATACATAATCAGGGCCTGCAGTTCAATTACATTGTCCTGTAACACAAAACATGTATACATAATCTGGCCTGTAGACAAATTACTTAATTTATTGTTCACATAACATGTATACATAATCAGGGCCTTGGGATCTATCAAGTGTCCCTGAACAAATTTCAATGGATACCTAGAATGATATCAGGCAAATGAGCTAACTGTTAACAGTAGGTAACTCACCTGGGTAGAAGAGAAGCCTCCAAGTTCATTTCTCTGTTTTGTCAGCCACATGACAATGGGCTGTGCATTAACGACAGCGTTTTCCTGTTCCCCTATGATGACAGACAGTAGAATGTAGGAGGTGATCTCAATCTCTGCTGATGGTGCTTGGTACCATTGCCAAGAATAGGGCTCTGGAGTTGGCTCCTCTTCATCATTACGAGTCCAATACTTCTGTATACCATCCTCTGGTAAAGAAAATTCTTACCTGTACTAGTAGTGTAACAAAGTCTAAGTTATAGTCAAGTTTCATATAGATTGTTTTGAATAGACAGTCTTGTTCCTAAATATGAATAGGCAGTCTTGTTCCTAAACATCAGTCTTGTTCCTAAACATTGAATAGGCAGTCTTGTTCCTAAACATTGAATAGGCAGTCTAGTTCCTAAACATTGTGTAGGCAGTCTAGTTCCTAAACATTGTGTAGGCAGTCTAGTTCCTAAACATTGTGTAGGCAGTCTAGTTCCTAAACATTGTGTAGGCAGTCTAGTTCCTAAACATTGTGTAGGCAGTCTAGTTCCTAAACATTGTGTAGGCAGTCTAGTTCCTAAACATTGTGTAGGCAGTCTTGTTATCATTCTCACCTCTAGACATAAATGGTACCAGTGTTGCTTTCACAGTGCTAACTTTTATGGAACTGTTGTTCTTAATAAGAAGATATTAAGCCATATTTTTGGAGATGGTTACCTTTATACATGGCCCTTTCCTCAAGTTCAGCCATCACCATTAACCTCTTTGGCCAGTTAACATCATATAGTGTGTAGGCATAGGCCATTAATGACAATGTGTATGTGTCATTGTTGTCTTGAACGTCTAAGCACCTTACAGCATTAACAACAGCATTATCCTGAAATTCAGACAGAACAGTTGTTGATGCTTACCTTCATAAACATATTCAACAAAAAAATGAGGTCTGTTGAGCTTTTACTGCAACATTGCTTTGGGCACAAATGATCGTTTTTGTTTTGGAGAAAATCCCTGAACTTAACAAATTGTCAAAAGGATCCTAAGTTTCATACTATCCTATTTACACCTGTTTCCAACAAGGAAATAAGGGAATAACATTGACACTCTCATATAAATGACAGGTAGCTACTTACCTAAATGACAGTAAGCTACTTACCTAAATTACAGTTAGCTACTTACCTAAATGACACTTAGCTACTTACCTAAATGACAGTAAGCTACTTACCTAAATGACAGTAAGCTACTTACCTAAATGACAGTTAGCTACTTACCTAAATGACAGTAAGCTACTTACCCAAATGACAGTTAGCTACTTACCTAAATGACAGTTAGCTACTTACCTAAATGACAGTAAGCTACTTACCTAAATGACAGTAAGCTACTTACCCAAATGACAGTAAGCTACTTACCCAAATGACAGTTAGCTACTTACCTAAATGACAGTTAGCTACTTACCTAAATGACAGTAAGCTACTTACCTAAATGACAGTAAGCTACTTACCTAAATGACAGTAAGCTACTTACCTAAATGACAGTTAGCTACTTACCCAAATGACAGTAAGCTACTTACCCAAATGACAGTTAGCTACTTACCTAAATGACAGTTAGCTACTTACCTAAATGACAGTAAGCTACTTACCTAAATGACAGTAAGCTACTTACCTAAATGACAGTAAGCTACTTACCTAAATGACAGTAAGCTACTTACCTAAATGACAGTTAGCTACTTACCTAAATGGCATTTAGCTACTTACCTAAATGACAGTAAGCTACTTACCTAAATGACAGTTAGCTACTTACCTAAATGACAGTTAGCTACTTACCTAAATGACAGTTAGCTACTTACCCAAATGACAGTAAGCTACTTACCCAAATGACAGTTAGCTACTTACCCAAATGACAGTTAGCTACTTACCCAAATGACAGTAAGCTACTTACCTAAATGACAGTTAGCTACTTACCCAAATGACAGTAAGCTACTTACCTAAATGACAGTTAGCTACTTACCTAAATGACAGTAAGCTACTTACCTAAATGACAGTTAGCTACTTACCCAAATGACAGTTAGCTACTTACCTAAATGACAGTTAGCTACTTACCTAAATGACAGTTAGCTACTTACCATCTTATTGACACCTGCTTCCAACATTGCAATAAGAACAAAGGCAGTCATAGCAGCCTCGTTGCTGTTTTCGCTTATTCCACCCTTCAGGTAGTAGCTATGCGTATAGCCTATTTTAGGGAAACAGCCGTTCTCCAGCTGCCTCTTTCTGAACCAGTTGAGACTTTTGATGAGGTCCTTATTGTCAATGTCAATGAAAGGCAAAGACTGCCCAAAGCACTTGACTACAAAAGCAGTCAACCACATACTACCATCAGCGTTGGAGTTTCCAAAGGCACTATAAGAACCATCGTTATGGCGATACTTCAGTTGTCTCTGATACCCTGCAATAGTGAATTTACAATTAAAAAATAACCAAATTCATATTGAAATAAATACAGTAAGTACATATGGAAAAACTTTAGGTTAAAAAGATTGAAATGAAAGGAACTTACTTGTGTAGAGCAATATATTATATAATTTACTGCACTATCAGACAGTTGCTTTAAAACCTGAAGGGATAACAATCTTTACTAGGCATAATCCATAATGACTCCCTGTTGGCCATGTTTTTTTTATGATCAGTCACAAACTCATACAGCCACAACTAGGGACCAAGAGGAACCTATATATGAAATGTAAGAAAGATCTATGCAATATTTCTCAAGAAATAGCGATAACAATCTGTCAAAGTCAAAATCCAACATGACTGCCTGTTGGCCATTTTGTTTTTCTGATCAGTACCAAGATTGAACGGGCAAAACTAAGGACCACAGGGTACCTACTGGTACATCTGAAATTTGAGAGAGATCCATCTACTCAAGAAATAATGATAACAAAAATTGAAATGAAATGTCGTCAATAGCAAAAGGCACAACTAGGGCACTAACCTAAATATACAGAAAGTTTCATGTAGTTGAGTAGAGTGGTTCAGAAATTGTAGCCCAGAAAGGGATGTAAACACTAATTTTGTGGTTTTTTTTGGCTATGTTTCCATGGTAACACAAAAAATAAAATGTTGTCAATAGCTAAAGACACAACAAGGGCACTAACTCTATATACAGCAGGTTTTGTAAAGTTGAGTTGAACCGTTTTGAATTTATAGCCCAGAAAAGCCCTCAGATGGATGGATGCATAGACGGACGGACAAAACTCAAATTAATATTTTCCGCAAACGTGTTTCGCTGGAGATAACAGGAGGCCCAAGGGGGTTGGGGGCTGAAATGCACCTTTTATACAGAACTTATTCACCTCTACCCAAGATGCAAAATTTCCCCTTTTGGGCGCTACCCCTTTGGCCCCTGGAAACTGTGAGCTAATCCTTGACAAACTTTGTTCCCTTTCACCCAAGAATACTTCTGACCAAATGGGAAATATCCACGGACTCCTACAGGAGGAGTAGGATTTTAAAGAATTTACTGTATTTCTCCTTTTGGGCCCAGCCCCTCCAAGCTAGGGGGCGTAGACCAACACTTTACACAAAATTGATTCCCCTTCACCAAAGAATACTTCTGATCAAGTTTAGGAGATATCTAATCATTCTTACTGGAGAAGTAGGATTTTAAGGAATTTGCTCTATTTCCCCTATTGGGCCTCACCCCTCCCACCCCAGAGGCAGAGACTCACTGTATATACAAAATTGATTTCCTCTCACCCAAAAATGGCTATGATGAAATTTTGGAAAAATCAAATAATTCCGACAGGAGAAGTAGGATTTCAAAAAAATTTGCTCTATTACCCTTATTGGGTCCTGCCCCAGGGCATTAAGACCTACCATTTATGCAAAATTGATTCCCCTCCACCCAACAATGCTTCAGAATAAATTTGGACTAAATACAATCATTCCTACAGGAAGAGAAGGACTTCAAAATTTCTCCCTTTGAAAATATATTGATAAGAACAGGACAAAAGTACAGCTAAGAAGAATTTAGTTTACTGTTATTCTAGAAAATCTTGCAGGTCTAAATGTGTGTGGATACGTGACTTTTCCAGAACCCTCCCATATATCAGAATGTATTACTGTGTGGACAATTTATACTTTTTCAAGTTTTTTGAGATTTAGAGACTGAAAGTATCAACTGACCAATCCTCATGTAGTTCAGAGCTTCTGTCTCAATCTTGCTAGTGAGCTGGTTTGTGTTGGTGAGGTACTGAAGAACCACAATATTAGGTGACCATGAAGCCATGTTCTGCTCTCCACAACCATACGGCATTCTCAGCAACCCTTGTAGGTTTGATAATGCTGGACCCATGATGTCACCTGAAACATCAATACTAGATTATACACACACATATACAACATTGACATTTCCTCTCAACACAGATGATACACACATATATACAACATTGACATTTCCTCTAAACACTGATGATACACACATATACACAACATTGACATCTCAAGACTGATGATACACACACATATACAACATTGACATCTCAACACTGATGATACACACACATATACAACATTGACATCTCAACACTGATGATAAACACACATATACAACATTGAAATCTCAACACTGATGATACACACACATATACAACATTGACATCTCAACACTGATGATACACACACATATACATTATTGACATCTCAACACTGATGATACACACACATATACATTATTGACATCTCAACACTGATGATACACACATATACAACATTGACATTTCCTCTCAACACTGATGATACACACATATACAACATTGACATCTCAACACTGATGATACACACACATATACAACATTGACATTTCCTCTCAACACTGATGATACACACACATATACAACATTGACATTTCCTCTCAATATTTGGTATACATTTACCTGTGATCCTGAATTTGCATTGCTGTAAAACAATCTAATTTGGCGCAGTTAATTTTAGTTTTCTGGATACCTTTTTTGCAGCTGAAATTTATCGGCAGTTATAATAGCTGAACAGTTAAGGTATGGTTCACGTTTTTTTTGGGGTATGTGTCAATGTAGATGCTGAATGAATTATTACAAATCACAAATAGTAGTATGCATTGTTTTTCATTTCCTTGGGTGACACGGACTTAACTAACATTGACTTAAGACTCTCAGCTCTGAAGCCTCTTCACGCTGTGTGACTTGTGAGAGTGCACGACACCATCATACAAAACAAAGAACTCCTGAGTAAGTTGTTTGAGACGACAGGAATATTTTGAAGTGTTATAAAAACAACAGACTGTCCAAGCCATTTGACAATGTGTTACTGACTATTGTACTAATTATTGGTGTTAATAAATTTTGTTTCCAGTTTCCAATTTTTGTTGATCTGTTTCAAGCATCATGGAAATTTTAGCAATTCAATATTTAGCACTTCAATGGTTACATGTGAAAATCCCTGATACTAAATGAGCACTAAAATTCCTTGTTTATACAAATTTATACTCACCTATGACGCTAACTTTGCCCCTTGCAGAGTCTTCCACTAACCCTTCTGGGGGAAGGATGAGGTCTATTGTAGCTATTTGAGAAACACCTGCAGGCAAACACACAATGTACAGATCACTTGCTTCTTTTTGGCAGTATTTTGTCAAAGTATAGATGCTTATCTGACCTAGGTTATTGTCACAGAAAAATGTCTGAACCATTACTAAAAATTAACATCTTGCAACATCCTTTAACAAGAGAGGCTCACAGTCCTTAACGGTCATCTGACTACAAAAACTTTTAGCAGGGAGAAGGGTTATTTTCTACTTTGAATGAAATTTTACTAAGAAGCTGTTTTCCATGATGCAGATGGTTGTTTTGGTGAGGAGTAGGTAACTGTAACAAGCGTTACCTATTTTTTTGACTGTAAAGTTGGAGCTCAATCCAACTGGTGAACTTGAGAAGTTTGAAATAGGTGTTGTTGTGGAAAACCATGATTGTGCAATCAGCCTCCCTGGCTGCCGTATCAAAGTTTTGACAAGTTCGAAAAATAACAACTTTGTTGGCTACCTTTCCTTAACATTCCCACTAAGTTTTAGCTCAATGACACCAGTGGAACTGCAGAAGAAGTTTAAAATATGTTTTTGAAGATGGTGGCCATGGCGACCATCTTGGATTTCAGACATACCTGAAAAATCCTTCAGTCATTACTGACTGCTTAAATAAGACACTTTATTCAGCCCAATCAATTAGTTTAAGAAAGAAAATTGATAAGTGTTAACTAGCTAGCACAATTTTGGGACAGTCTTTATTTTTATATTATAAATATTTAAAGACTTTTATAGAATAAAAATACACTCCTACTTGTCAAGCATTTTGTTTTTCATAACCATACAATATCCAGTATTCTGCCATAAATCCAGCTTGACCTCTCATGTTCTAGACATAACAGCAAAGCGCCAGAAATAGGTCAATGTTCATATCATTGTAGTATTTACAAAAAGGTACCATATTGATTTTATTCAAAATATATGATTTTCCATTCATCTGAGCTCACTTACAAAGGAACTAGTTCAAAGATTTGAACCAATCAAATTGGAAAGTTACTTGATTTTAATCAGAAAAATCTGCTTACATAGCAAAACTTATAGGATGTAATAATCAATGTGTCTTTCCACATTACAAAATCGTGTTCACAGTAATTGTAGCCAGATCCATTCTTTTTCTCAGCAAAACGACAAATCAAGATAATCAATAAAAAGGTGACCAAGACTACATGTGAATCTTTCTGAAAATTGCAGTACAGTAACCTATTTTACGTCCAGTTTAACTCAGTCTTTAGAAACAACTAAAAGTGAAAGTAAAAATGATCTCGGTCTGAGGTGACTGCTTACAATGATTAAATATACACAAATCAGCACTGATATAGGTAATTATTTATGATGTTACAACACATAACTAACTTTACTAAGATGGATTATAATGGTTGACTAAGTTTGATTATCTCCAAATTGAAATACCTTTTGGTTATCATGATATACTGTTTACTATGATATTTTTTATATCTTAAAAACATATCATAACATGCAGGTTTCAGTATTCAATAAAATGCAATACATACCCTCAGAACACATGTAAGAACTGAATGTATATTCCTTCTCAACACCCTCAGCCTGAAAGAAAGAAATGTAATATTTCTAGCCTATGTTAGCTGAAAAATATATATTTTAAACATTTCATTAATATGCACCTCATCAACCTCAATTTAAAACAGGACCACATACACATAAATACAATGACAAGGCTTTTATACAGTTTACCATCCCAGTGAAATATATGCCAACATACATCATCAATCAAAAATTCTTGATTTACTTTTCAACTATCACTTGAAAATCCTTTGATTCACTCTACCAAAGCCATTACATTAGAAAAGCTGACAAAATGTTCTACACACTTCTATCAGTAGCATCCTTTTGACAGCATCTGATACACCTGTGGTCTCATCATGGACAGCATTGTTACCGCATGTTCCATCATCTTGAATAGATTCTGCCTACAACATCAATCATTTTTTGTACAAAATGTAAGAAAATGTCTTAACCTTTTCATTAATGTTTTATGGAGTTAACTTTTTTTTCTTTTCATTTTTATCTTGAAATGTAAAAAGTTCCAATATTTATCAGAACAATAAGTCCTTAGAACAATGATGATAAAAGCATTTTATTTAATAGATGTATACTTTTCTTTATATTTACCAAACCAAATGTATAGAAAAAGCACTGATTTGGAACCATTATTTCCCCAAATTTTAAGTCAAATAATATTCAGTGTCTATATTTTTAATTTTTCCATATCTAACTCTGAATGTGCATCAAAAACTTCAGTGTTCCAAATGAAAAATTCAGTGCAGATTATAACAAATGATATCATAGTGAACCACTATCATTCATTGTGTAGTAGTTGTACAATTTATATTTATAATATGGGTGAAATTTAAAGCCTCCATCTTAACAAGCATGTACAGAAAATTTCACCACAAAACTCGATAACTTTTAGAACAATATGAACACTTGCATTGCACAGTCTTTAGTCGATACTAACCAATCATAATTGGTGTCTTAAGTCAATACTAACCAATCACAATAGGTGTCTTAAGTCAATACTAACCAATCACAATGGGTGTCTTAAGTCAATAATAACCAATCACAATGGGTGTATTTATCAAACATGTAATGTATATAATCTAACCATATATTGCACCAGTTGTAAATGTGAAATGTTAACTTAATTCCTGAAGTTTTAGAGATACATGGTTTAAATGTAAAGAGACATCAAGATATAATGTTACTATCTAAAAAATTTCCAAATAGTAAATACCACGTCAGAGAGGGGTTATGGTCCCCGAATGGGAGAAAATTTAACTATTAGAAATAACAAAGGGCAATTAAAGGGTGATGATTCTTGTATACTGCCCTCCTTCTCGCTAAGATCTATCTACTATGAAGTTTCATTGCAATACCCCTTTTAGTTTTAGTGTAATGCTCTGGACAAAATTTAACTATGAAAAATAACCAAGGGCAATAACTCCTAATTACGCAAAAAAAGTGATGGTTTGTGTGCACTGCAATTCTCCCTGATGAGATCTATCTACCTATGAAAATTAATGTTTTTAACTCTTATAGTTTAACAGCAATGCACTGGACAAGATTTAAGTATGAAAAAAGACAATAACTTCTGAATTATGCAAAACAATGAGTGATGATTCTTGTGCACTGCACTTCTTGCTGAGATTTATCTACCTATGAAGTTCATGTTGATATTGCTATCAGTTTTAGTGTAATGCTCTGGACAAAATTTAAGTATGAAAAATAACAAAGGGTAATAACTCCTAAATTATGCAAAAGCAAGTGATGGTTCTGGTGCACTGCACCTCTCCTTGTTGAGATCTATCTACCTATGTAGTTTTATGTTGATACCTCTTATAGTTTTTGAGTTATGCTTAGGACAAAAATTATGATGGACAGACAGATGGATGGTCGGACAGACAGACAAAGCGACAAACATATGCTTTTCCTTCAAGGAGCATATAATATGTAAATCTAATCATTTGTTCTTGTAATTATTTTGTTATCATGGCATTGTCAATGACACCCAAATGGCTCTATCTGCTGCTTCTAGTGCAATATGTCAGTTTAACTAATTTGCAACTGTTCTAACTTGTATAGCGTAATTTTTGTTTTAAATATTTCATGAAAATATGGTTATTAGATATAAACATTGTTTTTGATTTTCTGTGTGTGCATCAAAGTGTAGTTACATTGGGATGTTTTACTTGGTTAGTACATCAAGCAATATGTAGTTACCCCAATGTTAGCACACTTCCATGCATGAATTACAGGAAATAGGAAACAATTTGTTTCAGTAAATATTACTCCCAATCTTCCTTTATTCACATAAACCTAAAACCAGCACTGCGAGTGCTCGACTCACTGCTGCTAGGATGCCGATCTCTCCGAGTTGTGTAGGTTTGATGTAGTATTTGATGCTTTCTGATTCTCCACCACAAACACAACTCTGTACAACACGATCATCCGACACCAGCTCAAAACCATCAGATGGCTCTAGTCTCAATAACATCTGTAAAGAAACATTAGCAATCAACATGCTGAGAGGAACTGGGTTTTACATGGAGTTAACATAACCCTCTTGTTCCAAGTAAGGTATATCAATCAGGGTATACTGTATGTTATTATTTTTCCTTAAGTTGGCCATTTTGTTTTAAAGTATTGGGCTATACAACTCCATAGTAATCAAGCTTTACCATGAACTAATTGTTTGTCACGTAATTCTCATTCACGGTCAATATTCTAAATTAAATAAAATTCTGACCATCCTTGAAATCAATCAAACTGAAGAAAATGAAAGTATGAATGGTCAGAATAATATGTCCTATGTCATTTTAATTTTAAACTTACAACAAGACATTCGGAGAGGTAGTTGAAGATGGTGATAGTAACTGGCACAGTTTCACCCCTTACTGCAGAATAGGGCAGAGTGAAGGACAAAAAGAATGGCTGGAAGGCAGTGATGGTTGCCAAGGGCGAAGTACCAATTCCAACCTCTGTGTTGGCACAAATGGTATTGCCAACCCACTCGGTAATTGTGTGTGGTAGCTGTTTAGTTAAAACCACTTCACCTTCATCACTGTAACAGGCAAATCATCATCAGTAACTTATTACATCAGTATCAGAATGTAAAAACATTTATAATAGCACCCTATATTAGCATTGTCTTAACCTCTGAACTCAGTATCGCAATAACCTGACATCAGTATCACAATAATCCCCAATATCAGCATCACCACCATCCCAGAACTCAGTATCGCAATAACCCTGACAACAGTATCACAATAACCCTGACATTAGTATCACAAAAACCCTGACTTAGTATAACAATAAACCCTAACACCTGTATCACAATAACCACTGAACTCAGTATTGCAATAACCCTGACATCAGTATCGCAATAATCCCCGATATCAGCATCACCACAATCCCTGACCTCAGTATCACGATAACCACTGACATTAGTATCACAAAAAACCCTGACTTAGTATAACAATAAACCCTAACACCTGTATCACAATAACCACTGACAACAGTATCACAATAACCCTGACATCAGTATCACAATAACCACTGACAACAGTATCACAATAACCACTGACAACAGTATCACAATAACCACTGACAACAGTATCACAATAACCACTGACAACAGTATCACAATAACCACTGACAACAGTATCACAATAACCCCCCAAATATCAGTATGAATATAACCCCTGACATCTGTATTACCATAACCCTGACAACAGTATCACAATAACCCTGACAACAGTATCACAATAACCACTGACAACAGTATCACAATAACCACTGACAACAGTATCACAATAACCACTGACAACAGTATCACAATAACCCCCCAAATATCAGTATGAATATAACCCCTGACATCTGTATTACCATAACCCTGACAACAGTATCACTATAACCCCTGACAACAGTATCACTATAACCCCTGACAACAGTATCACAATAACCCCTGACAACAGTATCACAATAACCACTGACAACAGTATCACAATAACTCTTGACAACAGTATCACAATAATCCTGACATCAGTATCACAATAACTCTTGACAACAGTATCACTATATACATAATGTTAGTAGAGGTTGACGAATACAGTTAAAGTTCGTCTCAAAATTGCTTAAGTCAAAAGTGGGACTTTGATAACAAGATCAAGATTTCCTACAGGCAAACTCGTGTTAAGTGCTCATCCATGGGGTACCATGACTTAAACAGCTTGCAACAGGTGTCTGCTTTATCCAGGCTCAAGTCATGGACAAAGCACAGGTATTTTGTTACAGCCAATAACAAGCTTATAAAGAAGGAAGTAAACCATCACCTAGTCAATAATTATGAAATATTTCATGAATGAAAATCGTTTTATATAATTAAGCACATCAATGCTTTTCACGTCCACCATATATAACAATCACAGCAGAAGATATGTCTTTAATAACCTCATTTATAATTCATAATACACATTGAGAAATATGCTGGTGTTTCTCAGGTGAACATATACCGAATCCTGAAGTTTCAGTGACAGGTAGTGTAGAAAACAGAGCTTGAAGAAACAACTTCTTTTATGAAGGTCAAAACACAATATAGGTCACAGGCCTCATCAAGGTCAACCTGTAACCCAAGCATGTTCACTAAATACAGCCTCTATATAATCATCAGGACACTCACTAAATACAGTCTCTATATAATCATCAGGACACCCACTAAATACAGTCTCTATATAATCATCAGGACACTCACTAAATACAGTCTCTATATAATCATCAGGACACTCACTAAATACAGCCTGTATATAATCATCAGGACACTCACTAAATACAGCCTCTATATAACCATCAGGACACCCACTAAATACAGCCTCTATATAACCATCAGGACACTCACTAAATACAGCCTGTATATAATCATCAGGACACCCACTAAATACAGCCTGTATATAATCATCAGGACACTCACTAAATACAGTCTCTATATAATCATCAGGACACCCACTAAATACAGCCTGTATATAACCATCAGGGCACTCACTAAATACAGTCTCTATATAATCATCAGGACACCCACTAAATACAGTCTCTATATAATCATCAGGACACCCACTAAATACAGCCTCTATATAACCATCAGGACACTCACTAAATACAGTCTCTATATAACCATCAGGACACTCACTAAATACAGCCTGTATATAACCATCAGGACACTCACTAAATACAGCCTGTATATAATCATCAGGACACCCACTAAATACAGCCTCTATATAACCATCAGGACACTCACTAAATACAGCCTGTATATAATCATCAGGACACTCACTAAATACAGTCTCTATATAATCATCAGGACACCCACTAAATACAGCCTCTATATAACCATCAGGACACTCACTAAATACAGTCTCTATATAATCATCAGGACACCCACTAAATACAGCCTCTATATAACCATCAGGACACTCACTAAATACAGTCTCTATATAATCATCAGGACACCCACTAAATACAGCCTGTATATAATCATCAGGACACTCACTAAATACAGCCTGTATATAATCATCAGGACACTCACTAAATACAGTCTCTATATAACCATCAGGACACTCACTAAATACAGCCTGTATATAATCATCAGGACACTCACTAAATACAGTCTCTATATAACCATCAGGACACTCACTAAATACAGTCTCTATATAATCATCAGGACACCCACTAAATACAGCCTGTATATAATCATCAGGACACTCACTAAATACAGCCTGTATATAATCATCAGGACGCTCACTAAATACAGTCTCTATATAACCATCAGGACACTCACTAAATACAGCCTGTATATAATCATCAGGACACTCACTAAATACAGTCTCTATATAACCATCAGGACACTCACTAAATACAGTCTCTATATAATCATCAGGACACCCACTAAATAAAGCCTGTATATAACCATCAGGACACTCACTAAATACAGCCTGTATATAATCATCAGGACACTCACTAAATACAGTCTCTATATAATCATCAGGACACTCACTAAATACAGTCTCTATATAACCATCAGGACACCCACTAAATACAGCCTGTATATAATCATCAGGACACCCACTAAATACAGTCTCTATATAACCATCAGGACACTCACTAAATACAGCCTGTATATAATCATCAGGACACCCACTAAATACAGCCTGTATATAACCATCAGGACACTCACTAAATACAGCCTGTATATAATCATCAGGACACCCACTAAATACAGTCTCTATATAACCATCAGGACACCCACTAAATACAGTCTCTATATAATCATCAGGACACCCACTAAATACAGCCTCTATATAACCATCAGGACACTCACTAAATACAGCCTCTATGTAATCATCAGGACACTCACTAAATACAGTCTCTATATAACCATCAGGACACCCACTAAATACAGTCTCTATATAATCATCAGGACACCCACTAAATACAGCCTCTATATAACCATCAGGACACTCACTAAATACAGTCTCTATATAATCATCAGGACACCCACTAAATACAGCCTGTATATAATCATCAGGACACTCACTAAATACAGCCTGTATATAATCATCAGGACACTCACTAAATACAGTCTCTATATAACCATCAGGACACTCACTAAATACAGCCTGTATATAATCATCAGGACACTCACTAAATACAGCCTGTATATAACCATCAGGACACTCACTAAATACAGTCTCTATATAATCATCAGGACACCCACTAAATACAGCTATATAACCATCAGGACAGTCTCTATATAATCATCAGGACACCCACTAAATACACTATATATACAGCCTGTATATAACCATCAGGACACCCACTAAATACAGCCTGTATATAACCATAGGACACTCACTAAATACAGCCTCTATATAACCATCATATAATATAACATCAGGACACCCACTAAATACAGCCTCTATATAACCATCAGGACACTCACTAAATACAGTCTCTATATAATCATCACTGGACACTCACTAAATACAGCCTCTATATAACCATCAGTCTCTATATAATCATCAGGACACCCACTAAATACAGCCTCTATATAACCATCAGGACACCCACTAAATACAGTCTGTATATAATCATCAGGACACTCACTAAATACAGCCTGTATATAATCATCAGGACACTCACTAAATACAGCCTGTATATAACCATCAGGACACTCACTAAATACAGTCTCTATATAACCATCAGGACACTCACTAAATACAGCCTGTATATAATCATCAGGACACTCACTAAATACAGCCTGTATATAACCATCAGGACACTCACTAAATACAGTCTCTATATAATCATCAGGACACCCACTAAATACAGTCTCTATATAACCATCAGGACACTCACTAAATACAGTCTCTATATAATCATCAGGACACCCACTAAATACAGCCTGTATATAACCATCAGGACACTCACTAAATACAGTCTCTATATAATCATCAGGACACCCACTAAATACAGCCTGTATATAACCATCAGGACACTCACTAAATACAGCCTGTATATAACCATCAGGACACTCACTAAATACAGTCTCTATATAATCATCAGGACACCCACTAAATACAGCCTGTATATAACCATCAGGACACTCACTAAATACAGTCTCTATATAATCATCAGGATACCCACTAAATACAGCCTCTATATAACCATCAGGACACTCACTAAATACAGCCTGTATATAATCATCAGGACACCCACTAAATACAGTCTCTATATAATCATCAGGACACCCACTAAATACAGTCTCTATATAACCATCAGGACACCCACTAAATACAGCCTGTATATAACCATCAGGACACTCACTAAATACAGTCTCTATATAACCATCAGGACACCCACTAAATACAGCCTCTATATAACCATCAGGACACTCACTAAATACAGTCTCTATATAATCATCAGGACACCCACTAAATACAGCCTGTATATAATCATCAGGACACTCACTAAATACAGACTGTATATAATCATCAGGACACTCACTAAATACAGTCTCTATATAACCATCAGGACACTCACTAAATACAGCCTGTATATAATCATCAGGACACTCACTAAATACAGTCTCTATATAACCATCAGGACACTCACTAAATACAGTCTCTATATAATCATCAGGACACCCACTAAATACAGCCTGTATATAACCATCAGGACACTCACTAAATACAGTCTCTATATAATCATCAGGACACCCACTAAATACAGCCTGTATATAACCATCAGGACACTCACTAAATACAGCCTGTATATAATCATCAGGACACTCACTAAATACAGTCTCTATATAATCATCAGGACACTCACTAAATACAGCCTGTATATAACCATCAGGACACCCACTAAATAAAGCCTGTATATAACCATCAGGACACTCACTAAATACAGTCTCTATATAATCATCAGGACACTCACTAAATACAGTCTCTATATAATCATCAGGACACTCACTAAATACAGCCTGTATATAACCATCAGGACACCCACTAAATAAAGCCTGTATATAACCATCAGGACACTCACTAAATACAGTCTCTATATAATCATCAGGACACTCACTAAATACAGTCTCTATATAATCATCAGGACACTCACTAAATACAGCCTGTATATAACCATCAGGACACCCACTAAATAAAGCCTGTATATAACCATCAGGACACTCACTAAATACAGTCTCTATATAATCATCAGGACACTCACTAAATACAGTCTCTATATAACCATCAGGACACCCACTAAATACAGTCTCTATATAACCATCAGGACACTCACTAAATACAGCCTCTATATAACCATCAGGACACCCACTAAATACAGTCTCTATATAATCATCAGGACACTCACTAAATACAGTCTCTATATAATCATCAGGACACTCACTAAATACAGCCTGTATATAACCATCAGGACACCCACTAAATAAAGCCTGTATATAACCATCAGGACACTCACTAAATACAGTCTCTATATAATCATCAGGACACTCACTAAATACAGTCTCTATATAACCATCAGGACACCCACTAAATACAGTCTCTATATAACCATCAGGACACTCACTAAATACAGCCTCTATATAACCATCAGGACACCCACTAAATACAGTCTCTATATAATCATCAGGACACTCACTAAATACAGTCTCTATATAACCATCAGGACACCCACTAAATACAGCCTCTATATAACCATCAGGACACTCACTAAATACAGCCTGTATATAACCATCAGGACACCCACTAAATAAAGCCTGTATATAACCATCAGGACACTCACTAAATACAGTCTCTATATAATCATCAGGACACTCACTAAATACAGTCTCTATATAATCATCAGGACACTCACTAAATACAGTCTCTATATAATCATCAGGACACTCACTAAATACAGTCTCTATATAATCATCAGGACACTCACTAAATACAGCCTGTATATAACCATCAGGACACTCACTAAATAAAGCCTGTATATAACCATCAGGACACTCACTAAATACAGTCTCTATATAATCATCAGGACACTCACTAAATACAGTCTCTATATAACCATCAGGACACTCACTAAATACAGTCTCTATATAATCATCAGGACACTCACTAAATACAGTCTCTATATAATCATCAGGACACTCACTAAATACAGCCTGTATATAATCATCAGGACACTCACTAAATACAGTCTCTATATAATCATCAGGACACTCACTAAATACAGTCTCTATATAATCATCAGGACACTCACTAAATACAGCCTGTATATAATCATCAGGACACTCACTAAATACAGTCTCTATATAATCATCAGGACACTCACTAAATACAGCCTGTATATAACCATCAGGACACTCACTAAATAAAGCCTGTATATAACCATCAGGACACTCACTAAATACAGTCTCTATATAATCATCAGGACACTCACTAAATACAGTCTCTATATAATCATCAGGACACTCACTAAATACAGTCTCTATATAACCATCAGGACACTCACTAAATACAGTCTCTATATAATCATCAGGACACTCACTAAATACAGTCTCTATATAATCATCAGGACACTCACTAAATACAGCCTGTATATAATCATCAGGACACTCACTAAATACAGTCTCTATATAATCATCAGGACACTCACTAAATACAGCCTGTATATAACCATCAGGACACTCACTAAATAAAGCCTGTATATAACCATCAGGACACTCACTAAATACAGTCTCTATATAATCATCAGGACACTCACTAAATACAGTCTCTATATAATCATCAGGACACTCACTAAATACAGTCTCTATATAATCATCAGGACACTCACTAAATACAGCCTGTATATAACCATCAGGACACTCACTAAATACAGCCTGTATATAACCATCAGGACACTCACTAAATAAAGCCTGTATATAACCATCAGGACACTCACTAAATACAGTCTCTATATAATCATCAGGACACTCACTAAATACAGTCTCTATATAATCATCAGGACACTCACTAAATACAGTCTCTATATAATCATCAGGACACTCACTAAATACAGCCTGTATATAACCATCAGGACACTCACTAAATAAAGCCTGTATATAACCATCAGGACACTCACTAAATAAAGCCTGTATATAACCATCAGGACACCCACTAAATACAGTCTCTATATAACCATCAGGACACTCACTAAATACAGTCTCTATATAACCATCAGGACACTCACTAAATACAGTCTCTATATAATCATCAGGACACTCACTAAATACAGTCTCTATATAAGCACATGAGTAAGTATCTTGTTTAGGAAAAAGCTTTGTGCTTATACGCAAGTCATTCATTGGTTTACAAGAAAGTCTCTCTTCCAATTTCTATTACGGAAGAATTGTTGCCAAATATGTTAATCTTTGTTTTTTTTTTGTGTTTGTCCTAAAATTCTTTTCTTTATTGTTATCTAAAATCACACAAAGCTTTCCATTGAACATACCCCACTAGTTCTATATCCCATAACCAAGTCTCTGGAAAATAGCTTCTTATAGCTACATGTTTGGGCTGTCTTACTCCTACTCCTGAAAGTGCAGGCATCCCTGGGACTGGGGCCATCCCAGGCTGGGAGACTATTAAAATAAAATAAATCTGTATATAGAATAGAATTGTAGATACCCTATAAGCTCCAAATCCCAAAGAAATGTCTCAGGAAAAAAGCTCCGAGTCTTTGTGGGTTTCTTTTTATCTGGAATGGCTGTCAATACACCTTCAGTATCATATACAACATCTTCATCAACAATTCCGCCTGGCATGCCTTCCGACCTTACAGCTACAACATAAATACATTTCGTGGTATGGGACGAGTATCAGACCTAAATCATTGTATAGTACTTTGATATATGGGTTGCTTTCATGCAAACAATTGAAAAGGTTGCACAGGTTGAACATGCAAGAAAATTGACAGGTATAGATCGCGAAGGAGGCTGGAATGTGGAATAATCAGCACATGGAGTTCTAGGGGGCCAGATGTATCCATCAAAAACGTAGTAACTGATTAATGTTAGTAGTATGTGTACACAAATATGTCCAGAAATTTTATGATGTTCAGTATAACTTAAAATGGCTTATTCAGTATTGCTTTATATTTGAAAAGAAATTGTTAATTTTAGCTCTACCAATAACCATACAGCAGGATAGTTTGAACAATTTCAGCTGGATTTATGTAAATAATCTGAATCTGTATATTTAACAAAAGCCCTAACAGGCCTGTGTATCTAACTTGTTCTGCAGCTCATGAGAAGGAAACTTTGTTGGAAGGGTGCATTCAGGCAATTATGATTTTTTTTCTGAGTCATCATTCCCATTATATTGAAAGAGCCTTTTGGTATTTCAGAAATTGTGTATAGGTTTTTTTTTTTTTTTTAAACACATTTCAAGATCATTCATCTGCAATTGTCTATAAAAAAGAGACTGGGCATTTTGGTTCTTCTAAAAACTTCTAGAAGATTCTAGTAGTTTTCTTGCATCATTAAATGTAGATCAAAGTCATTCATTTCCACAAATTTGAAAGCTTTTCATCCTCGTATACTATAGCATAAAAACTCTGACTCGAGGCCATTTGGCTGAAGTCACTATAGATTTTAACACATTTAGGCTCCTGTGCCCTTGAGAGTGGGACAAAGAGACTCATTTAAGCAAATTTCATAGCCATTCATCAAGGCAATCATATTAGCATTTGCTTTTTCTGAAGACATTGTTTGAATAAACACATTTGAGAACTCTTCATCCCGGCATGCTTCTAGCCAAATGTCATGATCTTCTGAATTTTTGAGGATGGTAGGACATTTGACACTTGTCCTAAGTGTGGGTCAAAATGAATCACTTTTGGTTATTCATAAGATATTGTCGAATTATTCCAAAAGTTTAGAAAACTAAAACCTGTGACTTTTAAAAAAAGATCAAGGTAATCTATTTGAAAAAGTTGACTGCTTTTCATCCTAACATGCTATTGGCTGTTTTGTTATTAAAAAAAAGCTGTTGGAAATGTCCTTCAGTCAGATAAACTCAAATTTAAATGCAAAATGGAGCTATCACTTACAAAATTGCCTATGAATGGCAACTGGGATTCTTCTTCTACGGGAGCAAGGACGAGTTTCCAAAGTCAAATCTGTGAATACCACCATATCAAGTTCCTGCAATTTGAAATATAAAGGTTTTCTTTCATAGTGATCACCAAGTACACACTGAAACACCATCCTCCTCATCATTGTAAAGGTGAACTACTGTCCAATATCTCACTGTGATATATGTACCATAAGTTTTTTGTGTCAAATTTGGAATATGAACATTGAAATCGCAAAATATGTTATTAAAAACAAAAAGGAGATATTCTCTTTATAATGGCGTCCTGATAACTAAATCATATTGAATAAAAACCAATGATTTTGATATCAATGATCATGTAAAGAAACAATGAATTACTACAGAATTGTTACAAACATTGGTCATGTGGGTATTCTCAATGAGGACAGCCAATGGTTTACTGCACTTATCATTAAAGAAAAATATCATGTTTAAAACATCCCACTTATACAAAGCATAAGATATGTTGTAAAGATAAGTGGTATCTAATGAAGGTTTGTAAGACTGTTTTGCATCAAAGCTTAAAGCATATCCTGCATACACACAGGTAAAACACAGGCAAATTCCATCCCAAACATAACTTTTCACACATGTCCATTGATATGAGGGAAATGGGTGCCATTGTTTACCCTGATCTTTAGATAATCTACTACACAATGTGTTTGGTAGAAGTAGAAGATTGGAAACCAGGCTTTATTTAAGGCAATTTTCCACACCTGGTAGTTTAACTTACTCTGAAGGCTTGGATAGCATCCACTGTGTTGGTGTCATAGGCATAATATCCTCCATAGTAAAATGTGGGCACTGTAATACAATCCAGTCATTGTACAGAAACAACATGTAATTTTCTGTTGAATACTACCAGTACAGATAGAGCATACCAATGGTTTTATCTCCTGTAAACAAAGCAGGCAATTCACAAGCATACAATATTACAGGGCTCTACCTAATTCAAAAGATACACACACTGATCCCCTTGTGATGATCAAAAACCCATCCCTTTTTAACATCATCAGATTTTTTGGAAACATCATGACCAAAGCAGCTTATGATGATGGATCTGAACCTAAACTTTCCCCCAGAAGTCTCCTGTACATATCTATTAATAGGTGCTATCAGGGTTTCAGACAGTAAATATACATGTACCATCATCAAGGGTTTCTAGTTCAGGTTGTGGAAAGTGTTGTTTACAATATTCCTGGTCATCATTCCAGTGTCCGTAGTAAAAGTTTGGTTGTTCTATCATACTGTATATCTGGAAGGACAAGCAAAATTAAATATCTGAAAACATTGTAAGTCAAAGTTCTAATGTTGTCAATAATAAACGTTCCACACGCTCAAGCACATTGTTTGTTGAAGGTGTTACAAAGTTGGAGAGAACTTTCTTAGAATTTTAAAAGTCTACCCAAATCTTCTCATCTGAAAACTGGGTCTAAGTATTCCAAACCTTTATGATGACTGGAATTATACAATGTATGATCTAGGGATCTAACAAAACAGGAAGGTGATTGCTATATATCAGGACTTATGACCTTGTGATAATTCAAATTTACATAGAAGACGTCCAAGGTCATTAATAGTCACTGGGGTTACAATGCTATCCTTGTTCTTGTAACAAGAAATTATCCTGTTAACGAAGTAAGATAACATGAATTAAATTGTACACATAATGCAAATGTAAACTGTGCTTCTTGATCATGTTTGAATCAAAAGAAATCATGTTCAAAAATGTAATTTTGTTACATAACTTTAGTGAATTATATTCACTCCTAAGTGAATTTCATGACGTTTGGTAAAGCACTCTTCAATCCCTGCAGAACATTTGATTTGATCAAATCTGGGTGTTGAAATAGAGAATTTTGAAATTTGAGTCAATCTGACCCATTTTGGCTCTGTCTATCAGCCAGTATCAACATGTGCATACAATCAAACGGTCATCTTATACTAATAATTCTAACAAAGTTTGAAGTATTTTCCAATGGAAATTAACAAATTATCAAAAACTAACAAGATCAAACAATAAAATATCATCAGAGATTTTCTAGAAACACTTCTTCTGATGACTACATTACAAGCAATGGTCACGAACTGCTGCTTATGCTTAAACAATAAGGTTTGAATCCCTGCTTCAGAAAACTGTTTCTTGCCATTTTTGGAGTCAGTTGATGGTTTCCCCCGAGGAGGTTGATACTTTTATCCACCGCACCAACGGAACAGAAGGAGCCTGGCGCAGCTTTGATGCGGATGTTTGCCTCGCTACCTGGATAGGCAGTCTTTGGTTCAAAACTCATAACCACCTATATAGATAAAAGCAACACCTTAAGTTTTATAAGTTTATAAGTATACAACACAGGTGTTTATGATATAAGGTTATAAGTATACAATACAGGTGTTTATGATATAAGGTTATAAGTATACAATACAGGTGTTTATGATATAAGGTTATAAGTATACAATACAGGTGTTTATGATATAAGGTTATAAGTATACAATACAGGTGTTTATGATATAAGTTATAAGTATACAACACAGGTGTTTATGATATAAGGTTATAAGTATACAATACAGGTGTTTATGATATAAGGTTATAAGTATACAATACAGGTGTTTAGAATATAAGGTTATAAGTATACAATACAGGTGTTTATGATATAAGGTTATAAGTATACAATACTGATGTATATGATACAAGATTATAAGTATATAATACAGATGTATATGATACATGTTTAGGATTTTTTCATAAACCAAGAGTTGATGAATTTGCTATCTGTGTAAAATAAATAAAAAATAAAATTGTATAAAACTTAGATTTAAAGAACATTTTTTAGACAAAATTCTAACGGTCAGACGAATTGGTTTCCTTATTTCATAGGAAGGAAGGAGTGTGGTATATTATCACCTCATACTTCGTCCTTTTTCTGTATCACCTACCTTATTGTTGAAGCACTTCTCAACCTCAAACGTGATACTGTCTGCTACTGTCTCCGCATCTTCACGTATGTAGTAAACCAGGAGCTTGGCCTCAGGAGCCATGGCTGCCACAACCGGAATGTGTAAGGTGAAGGATGCTATAAAACTTGTTGGTTCTTGTTCCTCCTCCTCCTAAACACCACAAGTACAGTAAGGAAATATTAACATCATTTCTACTGGTTAATGAGAAATAAAAAAAGTTCTTACAGTCAAAGAAACTATATAGTTAATTTTGTAGCTCATTAGACTGGATAAAATCAGCTGTAAAAGAACATCAGCAATATTATGTTCATAATGGAAATCAATGTTTCTTTTTTGTGGTTTCTAATTCATGTCTCTCCTCAATGGCAATTTTGTCACATTTCACATTTTTCTGAATATGCCCCTGAAAAACTTCTGATATATACTTTCACATTAGTTATATGTAAAGCAAGAGGCCGTTCATTTTGATTGGATTATAAAACATCTGCAAGGATTTGACTAGGAAGCATATAAAAAAATTCAGCATTTTCAATAGCTGCTTTTGAAGACTAGATGACATGTGTTTGCGTAAAGACCTCTGTTTCTGGCTCTGTTTCTGGTTCTGTTTCTGGTTCCGGTTCTGGATCCTCTGTCTCTGGTTCAGGTTCTGGGGCTTCAGTTGGTTCAGGTTCACTGCTTGATGTTGCATTTGTTCCATTCACAAGCACAGCAGGAATTCGCACTGTAAAACAACAAAGCCATTTAAAGAAAATTTATGATCACACAGATATCTCAGAAAAATACTTTTGATTTAATCATCAGAACGGACATACAATATTTTTTCAAACGATCGTGCTCATACAATGACTACATAAGGCGTCTTATTTAGTGTACAGAAATCATGACCTGACCTTTGATTACACGAGGACGTCTGTAAAATGGGCGTCTGGGAGGAGGAGTGAAATTTTCCAGTTTCATAGCGTCTTCCACAGGATTTGTCTCTACAGCATGGCGTCTTAAAAAGTGATGGTGCTTGTGACTGTGGTAAACTACGTGGCGCTGGGACATCACCTATTACAGAAAAATATTGTAATCAGTTCATGTAATTCAATGTTCAATAAATCAGTCGATCATTAACATGTAGTGTAACTGACTCAATATTTTATCATGTTTCTTCTCTGTGTAACTATACTGGTTACATAGTAATCCATCTCAGTACCAACATAGTAATCTATCTCAGTACCAACATAGTAATCTATCTCAGTACAAACTTGGTATCATTGTCTACCATTACAGTAATCTATCTCAGTACCAACATAGTAATCTATCTCAGTACCAACATAGTAATCTATCTCAGTACCAACTTGGTATCATTGTCTACCATTACAGTAATCTATCTCAGTACCAACATAGTAATCTATCTCAGTACCAACATAGTAATCTATCTCAGTACCAACATAGTAATCTATCTCAGTACCAACATAGTAATCTATCTCAGTACCAACACAGTAATCTATCTCAGAACCAGGTAAAACATGAGATATGTGAAAGGTTTACATTATAAATAAATTCTTACCATGTAGTAAAATTTGTAGGTTGTGTTGACCTGTGTTGTGTACAACACATTTACATTTAGCATCTGACCACAGCTGGGGGTGGAAGTGACCCGCTCTATGTGCATGTAGTTGTTGGATGGAGAATACCATCGGCGGGCTGATTGGTAGCCTTGGGGCTCGTACAGGCGATGGAAATCCATTGACATGTAGTAGTTATAGCTCCTACGGTAATGGGGAGAGTTTGCCTACAAAATATTACTCAGATATAAATACTCTGTTTTACACAGTATAGAACAAAATGATACTCAGTTTTACATTAGATATTGTACTCAGTTCTACACTAGATATTGTACTCAGTTCTACACTAGATATTGTACTCAGTTCTACACTAGATATTGTACTCAGTTCCACACTAGATATTGTACTCAGTTCTACACAGGATATTGTACTCAGTTCTACATTAGATATTGTACTCAGTTCTACACTAGATATTGTACTCAGTTCCACACTAAATATTGTACTCAGTTCTACACAGGATATTGTACTCAGTTCTACACTAGATATTGTACTCAGTTCTACACTAGATATTGTACTCAGTTCTACACTAGATATTGTACTCAGTTCCACACTAGATATTGTACTCAGTTCTACACTAGATATTGTACTCAGTTCTACATTAGATATTGTACTCAGTTCCACACTAGATACTGTACTCAGTTCTACACTAGATATTGTACTCAGTTCCACACTAGATATTGTACTCAGTTCTACACTAGATATTGTACTCAGTTCTACACTAGATATTGTACTCAGTTCCACACTAGATATTATACTCAGTTCTACACTAGATATTGTACTCAGTTTTACACAGGATATTGTACTCAGTTCTACACTAGATATTGTACTCAGTTCTACATTAGATATTGTACTCAGTTCTACACTAGATATTGTACTCAGTTCTACATTAGATATTGTACTCAGTTCTACACTAGATATTGTACTCAGTTCTACACTAGATATTGTACTCAGTTCTACACTAGATATTGTACTCAGTTCTACACTAGATATTGTACTCAGTTCACTGTACTCAGTTCTACAACGGATATTGTACTCAGTTCTACACTAGATATTGTACTCAGTTCTACAGTGGATATTGTACTCAGTTCTACATTAGATATTGTACTCAGTTCTACAGTGGATATTGTACTCAGTTCCACATTAGATATTGTACTCAGTTTGCATTAGATATTGTACTCAGTTCCACACTAGATATTGTACTCAGTTCTACATTAGATATTGTACTCAGTTCTACACTAGATATTGTACTCAGTTCTACACTAGATATTGTACTCAGTTCTACACTAGATATTGTACTCAGTTCCACACTAGATATTGTACTCAGTTCTACACTAGATATCGTACTCAGTTCTACAGTGGATATTGTACTCAGTTCTACATTAGATATTGTACTCAGTTTGCATTAGATATTGTACTCAGTTCCACACTAGATATTGTACTCAGTTCTACATTAGATATTGTACTCAGTTCTACACTAGATATTGTACTCAGTTCTACACTAGATATTGTACTCAGTTCCACACTAGATATTGTACTCAGTTCTACATTAGATATTGTACTCATTTCTACACTAGATATTGTACTCAGTTCTACACTAGATATTGTACTCAGTTCACTGTACTCAGTTCTACAACGGATATTGTACTCAGTTCCACATTAGATATTGTACTCAGTTCTACAGTGGATATTGTACTCACTTCCACATTAGATATTGTACTCAGTTTGCATTAGATATTGTACTCAGTTCCACACTAGATATTGTACTCAGTTCTACACTAGATATTGTACTCAGTTCTACATTAGATATTGTACTCAGTTCTACACTAGATATTGTACTCAGTTCTACACTAGATATTGTACTCAGTTCCACACTAGATATTGTACTCAGTTCTACATTAGATATTGTACTCAGTTCTACACTAGATATTGTACTCAGTTCCACACTAGATATTGTACTCAGTTCTACACTAGATATTGTACTCAGTTCTACACTAGATATTGTACTCAGTTCTACACTAGATATTGTACTCAGTTCTACATTAGATATTGTACTCCGTTCTACACTAGATATTGTACTCAGTTCCACACTAGATATTGTACTCAGTTCTACACTAGATATTGTACTCAGTTCCACATTAGATATTGTACTCAGTTCTACACTAGATATTGTACTCAGTTCTACACTGGATATTGTACTCAGTTCACTGTACTCAGTTCTACAACGGATATTGTACTCAGTTCTAATTGATATACTGTATTCAGTTCTAACCTAAAATTGTTGTAAAGTACAAAATACTACTTATCTCTATGCTTCATAGAACAAAATTAAATAAAATAGTAAGACTGTGAAAGCGAAATTATTTTCCTTGCATGTGTATAAACTTAAAAGTTTTACTTAATAACACAAAATACTATAGATTTCATGTTTTTATAAGATTTATACAGGAGTTTGTCCTAAAATACCATTTCAATCCTTCATAAATATCACAGCATCTGATTATGAGCTTAAAAATCATTCTACCCTGTAAAAACTCTTTCTGGAGAAACAGAGGTGAAGGTTTCAAGACCCTTAAAATTTTGAGCATTGCTATGCTGAGTAAAAATACAAAATAATTTCTCTTCAAAAAGTTTTGTCTATCTAGTTACTAGCTTCATTTGTCTAAAATAGAAATTGTTAAATAATAATATTACAGATGAAGGTAACATCAGATGACAACAAGTTTTCAGAAGGAGAGCCATTTCATTCCTACAGATACATAGGAAAAAATCATACATACCTGAATATTGAGGCTGGTTACATTTTCTGGAATATCAGTTACAGCAAACATCACCTCTCCTTTTCTATCTGTAGTAAAATTCTTATGCTGAAAAAAGTCCCAGTCCCAATTCCTTGTACTGATTTCAATTAATTCCCCAGCCGCTGGAGAACCATCGGGCTTTTTAGCTGTCAACTGGAGTGCAAATTTTCACATGATTTAGTGTAATGAGATCAAAGTCTTTAGTGGAATTCTTGGTACATTTTATCATTAGTAAACAATGTATATCTGTCTACAGCAGACTTCTTATAATTCCGAAAAATACAACATATTGTACTGGTGATAATTTTATCAAGAAATCAACAACTTGATATAGATAACATCTTTACAGATTTTAAACAAATATTACACTATCCATGACTATATCTATGACATCGTTCATATTCAACAATACCCAAGCAATCTCAGTCATTTTTTAACTAGAGACAATTATCTGACCACATGCACTTAATAAGGTTGGGTCAATATTGCACTATACAGTAATATGATACAAAGGGATATTATGATATATCACAATAGAACAAATGTATACAAAAGAGAGCAATAGCTTAATTTAATGCAGCTGTGTACTGAAAAAACATAATTTTGAAATTATGTAATGCCACACAAGTTTAAGAACATATCAAATGGGGAGGTAACTCAACCTGACACAGATTAGACACATCTACAATGTGTATGGTTATAGCCAGCATGTATAGTTGAAATAAATTCAGTAGTCTAGGAGGAGTAACTGTTACATCACAATGTTTAAATCACTAATCATTAGTTTTACAGAATTTTGCCATATCTGATTAAACATTTGCTGGAAATTTCTTCCTAGTATATGATAGTGCAGGATTTCACTCAAATGACTTAAAATTTGGACTATGAAATGTCAATTCCTTACCAAGGGCAACTAATCCGAAAGAAAGAGTGAATGAGTGAAAGAGGATCCCATACCCATACACTCCCATAAGTGTATATTTCTGTTTCGAGATTGATCTGTTTTGATAAATACCTTTACTCTGTAAGGAAAGGAAGGTTTGAAGTATCCCTTGGTTTCATCGGTCATCGTAATAGTGTAAGGAGTCTGTGTCATCTCTGGTCCACTTGATTCACCAAATAATGTCACACCTTAAAAGTACATAATTACTGTAATATCTACTGGTCCACACATGTATCAATGCTTAACAATCACTTAAAATTGTGCTAATTGAAAGCAGCTTTCTTTCCGTTTCAAATCTTACCTGTTCCTGTCTCTGTAATGTTGGCCTTGACTGACAGACTGCCCCAGAGACTGTATCGGTTTGATGACATTGCCAAGTCAGACGAGTTCACAGAAAACTGGTAACAGCCATCAATCTGGTAAGGAATATATTGGGTTAAATTTCATCAGGACATCTTAATTGATATAAGTTGTATTCTATCTCCTAATAGATGGTGTATCTCAGGTATATAGTAAAGTTTCACTTCTTTAGTACTGGGTAATACTTTTAACTTTTTTCTGATTTCTCATACAGTCAACACACTGGAGGGCACAATGGCCATACAAACTCCTTTTTCATAAAAAACATTAATTTAGTATTCTGAAATTAATTATATCACTCTTCATCATCAACTTGACACAACTAGTTTCATCAGTCAAGACAATCTCTGGCTGACAAGCACTACTCTTTTGTGGTATGCCTATTAACAATGCCCAATTTTTTGTTAAAATAATGTCTAAGGGGGCTATCCCAAGAAAATTCAGGCATGACGAACAGAATTTGAAAATAAGCCATTTTGTCTGTACAGCCAAGGTCATTTTGAGGCAGGACCTATATATGTAGTTGTTGGTGACTGAATCACCTATTTGGGGTCTTTCCCGGAAGTTATAAGTAAACCAACTTAACAGTACTGCCAACAATGTCTAAACATGTTTCTAGGTTAAGATTTTAGTTTGGATCCTTGTAATCCACAGCAAATCTAATTATCCATTGACACTTAGAAATGCTTGAAATATATTTTATCATGATTAAAAACGCTTTTAAAATCAAGATAAATTTTGATGTGTTTGACAATAGTTTTGACCAACCAGAGTGTTGCTTTTTAGTCATGGCATAAAAATTTGCCAATTTTCATGTTCGGAACAAGTGAAGGTTGAATAAGTTAACTTTACATCAAATAATTCCTGTTTACAATCATGGTTTTCTACAATTTGGTATATACAGGCTGTGGAAATATAGGAGGGCTTTCAAAATATGGTTTTTTGAAGCAAATTATAGGAAAATGTAGGAATATAGGAATCAGCTGACAGCCTGTATATTAGAACAGTTTTGTTAGTGATTCTTATGAGATAACAGCATAAAACCGTAACATATCAAACAGCCTATTCAAAATTGCATCATCTTGTCAAATGATCTGACATCAAAGAGTATGGTGATATTTCATAACTCTGCTGTTTGGATCTGCTATTTTTCATTTACTTTTCTTTTAAAAAATGCAATAAAAAGAAAAAAAAATTGCCCAAGTGAGAAATATAGATATTCTGTCATACTTATGAAATATGATATTAAATGGGAAAGCATTAGATATCTTCTTCATCTGACACTTTCCAAATATCACATCTCACTGAACAAAGAGATTTAACCAAAACCATACTGTTTGCAATTACTGTCTTAATAAGCATTACCTCAACCAGACTTTTGTGACATGGACGAACATCATTATCACTTCTAGCACCATAGTAGTAGTAGTCATTAACATAGCAAATCTCCAGCCCCATAATGCCTCGCACTGGCTTTCCATAGGTGTACCTTTGAAAAATCATTCATAAATATTTCTGACTTTAAAATCTCTCGAATAAATTTTGACAAAGTAGTATTTGTATGAAGTAGATTTTATCAATATTTCATATCTGATAATGTATAATTTGGGAATTTTGTGCAACGTTGAAATCAAAATAAAACCTTTGAATGTGCTTCATTTGCCTGTGTTCTAATCCAAACTGTATATTGTGACATGTACATATATCTAGTGACAGTGGTATACTTACTTAGCACATACTGTTCCCTCTATCAAAGTAGTGTCTGGTAACAGGTATTTTGGTGGTGTGACTGTCACCTCAAACTTGGGAAGTACTGCAAGAACAATTCACAAAACCATCAGAATGAATGTGAATGACTTCTTACTTATATGATAATACAGAATAATTATTATACTCTGACTAACCAATACTATGTTAAAGCAAGATTCTTGCCTAAAGCAGACATAAAACTTTGTTTCTACAACAGCATATCCTAACAATCGGGACCTACAATGGAGGCCATATCCTATGATTACCTGCACTGATAATCATATATAAAAGGTCTTCTGATATTTTTGTTCAATTCAGTAGTATGTTTTGACCCTGCCTCTCTCCTCCATATCACTCTACAACGTTTTTGGAAAGAGCATAAGACCAGCCACAATGTGCCCTCTTACACAAAGTCATCGCCATACAATCTTGTATTAATCTTAATCAAAGACAACAATTCTAACCAGAAGATTATAACAAAATAAAGAAAAAATTAATAAAAAAAAGGAAAACTAATATTTCATTTCTATTCCATATGTTGAGCCTATTTACATTTCAAGGAATACTGTAAACTTATATTTATAACTGTGGCACAATTTTCAAGATTCAAGATTGGGGACCTTGATTTCATGGATAATACAGCTCAACAAATCCACTAATATGTATACTTAATTATACATTTTATAGATGTATTAATTTGTAGATTTAGAGTCCGCACTAATATGTATACCTATTTATACATTTTATAGACGTATTAATTTGTAGATTTAGATAGATCCACTAATATGTATACTTAATTATACATTTTATAGACGTATTAATTTGTAGATTTAGAGTCCACACTAATATGTATACTTATTTATACATTTTATACACATATTAATTTGTAGATTTAGAGTCCGCACTAATATGTATACATATTTATACATTTTATAGACGTATTAATTTGTAGATTTAGAGTCCGCACTAATATGTATACCTATTCATACATTTTATAGACGTATTAATTTGTAGATTTAGAGTCCGCTCTAAATCAATGAAAATAGATCCACTAATATATATACTTATCCAGTCCAAATATTATTGATTTTACAATATAAAGATTGAAGAATTGTACAAACTTGGCATGTTTATAAAACAGTAAATTCAACTTACCATATTCCTTGACAACAAATTCCTGTTTGTTGCTTTTTCCCTCCACTTTGACAGAGATGGTCCATTTTCCCATAGGGGGGTCAGAGGAAAGTGCCATTTCAAGACTTGCTAAACCTACATTAAGCAAAATGGAATACATCATTTCTTTGTTTACATGTTGTACTCAAAAAGTTTAGATGTATCTCACTTCAGTTGAAACTCTTGAAATATCAGAAAGTTCCCAGAATATCAATTAATTAAAATATGTTTTTGTTAGACAATCCACTCCATGAAATATTTACAAGAAATGTACACCTGTATATCTTCAGTATATCGAGTTCTTTGAAATTTTACCTCTAGACATGTTAACATCCCTCCATTGGCGTACTCTGACACCTGCTGGATTCTCTATGCTGACCAAGGATATCTGAAACATTTACCACTGGCACATGATAGAATGAAATGTCAGATGGTATAGATGATTTTTAATGGCTGTAAAATTTGATGGCGGCAATGATTCTCTACTGGCTGTAATGTTTGATGGTGGCAATGATTCTCTACTGGCTGTAATGTTTGATGGTGGCAATGATTCTCTACTGGCTGTAATGTTTGATGGTGGCAATGATTCTCTACTGGCTGTAATGTTTGATGGTGGCAATGATTCTCTACTGGCTGTAATGTTTGATGGTGGCATTGATTCTCTACTGGCTGTAATGTTTGATGGTGGCTATGATTCTCTACTGGCTGTAATGTTTGATGGTGGCAATGATTCTCTACTGGCTGTAATGTTTGATGGTGGCATTGATTCTCTACTGGCTGTAATGTTTGATGGTGGCAATGATTCTCTACTGGCTGTAATGTTTGATGGTGGCAATGATTCTCTACTGGCTGTAATGTTTGATGGTGGCAATGATTCTCTACTGGCTGTAATGTTTGATGGTGGCAATGATTCTCTACTGGCTGTAATGTTTGATGGTGGCAATGATTCTCTACTGGCTGTAATGTTTGATGGTGGCAATGATTCTCTACTGGCTGTAATGTTTGATGGTGGCAATGATTCTCTACTGGCTGTAATGTTTGATGGTGGCAATGATTCTCTACTGGCTGTAATGTTTGATGGTGGCAATGATTCTCTACTGGCTGTAATGTTTGATGGTGGCAATGATTCTCTACTGGCTGTAATGGTGGCAATGATTCTCTACTGGCTGTAATGTTTGATGGTGGCAATGATTCTCTACTGGCTGTAATGTTTGATGGTGGCAATGATCCTCTACTGGCTGTAATGTTTGATGGTGGCATTGATTCTCTACTGGCTGTAATGTTTGATGGTGGCAATGATTCTCTACTGGCTGTAATGTTTGATGGTGGCAATGATTCTCTACTGGCTGTAATGTTTGATGGTGGCAATGATTCTCTACTGGCTGTAATGTTTGATGGTGGCAATGATTCTCTACTGGCTGTAATGTTTGATGGTGGCAATGATTCTCTACTGGCTGTAATGTTTAATGGTAGCAATGATTCTCTACTGGCTGTAATGTTTGATGGTGGCAATGATTCTCTACTGGCTGTAATGTTTGATGGTGGCAATGATTCTCTACTGGCTGTAATGTTTGATGGTGGCAATGATTCTCTACTGGCTGTAATGTTTGATGGTAGCAATGATTCTCTGTAATGTTTGATGGTAGCAATGATTCTCTACTGGCTGTAAAGTTTGATGGTGGCAATGATTCTCTACTGGCTGTAATGGTGGCAATGATTCTCTACTGGCTGTAATGTTTGATGGTGGCAATGATTACTGGCTGTAATGTTTGATGGTGGCAATGATTCTCTACTGGCTGTAATGTTTGATGGTGGCAATGATTCTCTACTGGCTGTAATGTTTGATGGTGGCAATGATTCTCTACTGGCTGTAATGTTTGATGGTGGCAATGATTCTCTACTGGCTGTAATGTTTGATGGTGGCAATGATTCTCTACTGGCTGTAATGTTTGATGTTAGCAATGATTCTCTACTGGCTGTAATGTTTGATGGTAGCAATGATTCTCTACTGGCTGTAATGTTTGATGGTGGCAATGATTCTCTACTGGCTGTAATGGTGGCAATGATTCTCTACTGGCTGTAATGGTAGCAATGATTCTCTACTGGCTGTAATGTTTGATGGTGGCAATGATTCTCTACTGGCTGTAATGTTTGATGGTAGCAATGATTCTCTACTGGCCGTAATGTTTGATGGTAGCAATGATTCTCTACTGGCCGTAATGTTTGATGGTGGCAATGATTCTCTACTGGCTGTAATGGTGGCAATGATTCTCTACTGGCTGTAATGTTTGATGGTGGCAATGATTACTGGCTGTAATGTTTGATGGTGGCAATGATTCTCTACTGGCTGTAATGTTTGATGGTGGCAATGATTCTCTACTGGCTGTAATGTTTGATGGTGGCAATGATTCTCTACTGGCTGTAATGTTTGATGGTGGCAATGATTCTCTACTGGCTGTAATGTTTGATGGTGGCAATGATTCTCTACTGGCTGTAATGTTTGATGTTAGCAATGATTCTCTACTGGCTGTAATGTTTGATGGTAGCAATGATTCTCTACTGGCTGTAATGTTTGATGGTGGCAATGATTCTCTACTGGCTGTAATGGTGGCAATGATTCTCTACTGGCTGTAATGGTAGCAATGATTCTCTACTGGCTGTAATGTTTGATGGTGGCAATGATTCTCTACTGGCTGTAATGTTTGATGGTAGCAATGATTCTCTACTGGCTGTAATGTTTGATGGTGGCAATGATTCTCTACTGGCTGTAATGGTGGCAATGATTCTCTACTGACTGTAATGGTAGCAATGATTCTCTACTGGCTGTAATGTTTGATGGTTGCAATGATTCTCTACTGGCTGTAATGTTTGATGGTGGCAATGATTCTCTACTGGCTGTAATGTTTGATGGTGGCAATGATTCTCTACTGGCTGTAATGTTTGATGGTGGCAATGATTCTCTACTGGCTGTAATGTTTGATGGTGGCAATGATTCTCTACTGGCTGTAATGTTTGATGGTGGCAATGATTCTCTACTGGCTGTAATGTTTGATGGTGGCAATGATTCTCTACTGGCTGTAATGTTTGATGGTGGCAATGATTCTCTACTGGCTGTAATGTTTGATGGTGGCAATGATTCTCTACTGGCTGTAATGTTTGATGGTGGCAATGATTCTCTACTGGCTGTAATGTTTGATGGTGGCAATGATTCTCTACTGGCTGTAATGTTTGATGTTAGCAATGATTCTCTACTGGCTGTAATGTTTGATGGTAGCAATGATTCTCTATTGGCTGTAATGTTTGATGGTGGCAATGATTCTCTACTGGCTGTAATGGTGGCAATGATTCTCTACTGGCTGTAATGGTAGCAATGATTCTCTACTGGCTGTAATGTTTGATGGTGGCAATGATTCTCTACTGGCTGTAATGTTTGATGGTAGCAATGATTCTCTACTGGCTGTAATGTTTGATGGTGGCAATGATTCTCTACTGGCTGTAATGGTGGCAATGATTCTCTACTGACTGTAATGGTAGCAATGATTCTCTACTGGCTGTAATGTTTGATGGTTGCAATGATTCTCTACTGGCTGTAATGTTTGATGGTGGCAATGATTCTCTACTGGCTGTAATGTTTGATGGTGGCAATGATTCTCTACTGGCTGTAATGTTTGATGGTGGCAATGATTCTCTACTGGCTGTAATGTTTGATGGTGGCAATTATTCTCTACTGGCTGTAATGTTTGATGGTGGCAATGATTCTCTACTGGCTGTAATGTTTGATGGTGGCAATGATTCTCTACTGGCTGTAATGTTTGATGGTGGCAATGATTCTCTACTGGCTGTAATGTTTGATGGTGGCAATGATTCTCTACTGGCTGTAATGTTTGATGGTGGCAATGATTCTCTACTGGCTGTAATGTTTGATGGTGGCAATGATTCTCTACTGGCTGTAATGTTTGATGGTGGCAATGATTCTCTACTGGCTGTAATGTTTAATGGTAGCAATGATTCTCTACTGGCTGTAATGTTTGATGGTGGCAATGATTCTCTACTGGCCGTAATGTTTGATGGTGGCAATGATTCTCTACTGCCTGTAATGGTGGCAATGATTCTCTACTGGCTGTAATGGTAGCAATGATTCTCTACTGGCTGTAATGTTTGATGGTGGCAATGATTCTCTACTGGCTGTAATGTTTGATGGTAGCAATGATTCTCTACTGGCTGTAATGTTTGATGGTGGTAATGATTCTCTACTGGCTGTAATGGTGGCAATGATTCTCTACTGGCTGTAATGGTAGCAATGATTCTCTACTGGCTGTAATGGTAGCAATGATTCTCTACTGGCTGTAATGTTTGATGGTGGCAATGATTCTCTACTGGCTGTAATGTTTGATGGTAGCAATGATTCTCTACTGGCTGTAATGTTTGATGGTGGTAATGATTCTCTACTGGCTGTAATGGTGGCAATGATTCTCTACTGGCTGTAATGGTAGCAATGATTCTCTACTGGCTGTAATGTTTGATGGTTGCAATGATTCTCTACTGGCTGTAATGTTTGATGGTGGCAATGATTCTCTACTGGCTGTAATGTTTGATGGTAGCAATGATTCTCTACTGGCTGTAATGTTTGATGGTGGCAATGATTCTCTACTGGCTGTAATGTTTGATGGTGGCAATGATTCTCTACTGGCTGTAATGTTTGATGGTGGCAATGATTCTCTACTGGCTGTAATGTTTGATGGTGGCAATGATTCTCTACTGGCTGTAATGTTTATTATTTTACGATTTTCTACAGGTTGTTATGGTAGCAAATCCAATATGATAGGGAGGAAAGATGAGTTGTAATGTGATATGGTAATCTGAATTACTCTGATGATCTATTGCCTTTTTTGAATGCAGGTCTGTTTTAACAAACTAAAAAACAGTTGAACTTACCATTTCTGTTTTTGGTTTCATCATTCCATCAATCGTCATGATTCTGAATTTTACTGTAACAATAAAAGTAAAGATACAGTAAAACACGAACAAGTTGAGGTAGACAGGACCAAATGAAATATTTGACTTATCTGATGGTTCGACTTAGCTATGCTTCTATGAACAGAGATATTTTACATCCATGATTGACCCTAATTTCATTGGTTGTTTACTGGATACGTGTTCCAAAGCATAGTGTGACAGCAATGATTAAGTAATATATAAATAAAAACATGTTATATTTTTGTACACCCACTATATCTTTTATTTAAACAAACAGTTTCTCTATGATGTTTCAGACCAAATTTGGTTAAAATTCATTTATGCATTAAGAAAGTGTAGCATTTTGAAGCAAAATATTGACTAACTTTCCCATTTGGGGATGTGTCCACGCCCAGGTCCCAAGAGGTCAAATCAACTTTCTGAATTTAAGAAATGATTCCCCATTCTCAATGATATTTCAGACTAAATTTGGTTGAAATCCATTTAAGCATTATGAAAAAAAGTAGCATGATGATGCAAAATATTGACTAATTTCCACTTTTTGGGCCCACCCCAAAGTCCTTAGGGTTTGAATTATCTTTCTGAATATAGGAAATGATTCCACGCTCTCAATGATGTTTGAAACTAAATTTGGTTAAAATCCATTCAAGCATTAAGAGAGATTAGCATTTTGAAGCAAAATATTGCCTAACTTCCCCTTTTGGGACCCAAAGGGGTCAAATCATCTTTCTGAATTTAGGATATATTTTCCCACTATCAATGACTTTTCAAACCAAATTTGCTTGAAATCCATTTAAGCATTAAAAAGTAGTATTTTGAAGCAAAATACTGTCTCATTTTCTATATTGGGACTTGCCCCCAAGTAAAAAGGGGTGGAATCAAATTTCTGAATTCAAAAAAATGATTTCCCACTCTCATTGATGTTTCAAACTAAATTTGGTTGAAATCCATTCAAGCATTAAAAAGGAGTAGCATTTTGAAGCAAAATATTGTCTCACTTTCCTTTTGGTGCCCAGCCCCAAAGTCCCTAGAAGTTAATCAAATTTCTGACTTTAAGAAATAATTGCCTACTCTAACTGATGAATCAGGCAAAAGCTTGTTGAAATCCACCCAAGGAGAAAGGAGGAGTAGGCTTTTAAATCTAATTTTAGCACCTCCCCCTTTGGGGCCCCGTCCCTTGACCCCTAGGGATTGAATCAAAATTCTGAACTAAAGATATGATAACCCTCACCCAATGATGCATCATACCAAATTAGATTGAAATCCATTCGAATATGAAAAGAGTAGGGTTTTAAAGTAAAGTTTACACACGATGCAGGACAACAGACAAAGTCTGATGACTATAGGTCACCTTGACCCTTCAGGTCAGATGGCCTAAAAATGTAATGTGAGACAATCGTCATTGCAGCACAAGCATCCGTTCTCATAAACTTTGTGAAACCAATACCTAAAGTAATACAAACATTGTATTCACATTTATATCCAAAAGAGGCATTCAGCACAAATGCAGTATGCGACTCAGCAGTGTTCGAATCATCCATGCTTAAATTTACTAACATAACATAAAGAAGAGAAAAAATCTTGACCTAACCAAACATTACACTCATCTGATGTATTTGATTCAAGCACGTTCAACACCAGCGAGTTTTACTGTACATATGTGTTGAAACACATATTATTACATGAAAAGAAAATGAAAATCTAACACTTTATAAAACCAATAGTACCATACAAACTGAATTAAGGTTCATATGAACATGGTCATGGACGAAGAACAGACAGAAATGTCACTGACCTTCAGACATTATAATTAACCCATGCCCCTAGTCTTTCTCTTTGTGTATGCATACGGTTTACTTTCTGTGACATTGAGGATGCTCACCTGTTTGTCCTGGTTTATACATAGGTTTGTCACACTGTATAAGGGTTATCTGACTGGTTTTCTGGATAGTGACTTCAGTTTTGTGCCTGAACTCTGTCCCATTTCCATGACTGCCTGAGAAAGAGGCTGTGTACTTCCCTTCAGTATTAGGAACATCAAAATTCCAGCATTGGCTACTACCTGTGGAACCAAATTTTAATTAAAGTCTGGTGTAAAGAATATTTAAAACGATGTAGATAACTTCTGGTTACTCAGAACTATGGACAATAGGTATAATACACAGTTGTTATTGGTCCCTCATAATGATTTAAATCTGTCATGTAATATCAATGTTATCAATAAATGTGCCGTATAAATAACACCTCAAACACAGAATCACATTGGTAGCCGTACATACCATATATGATGTGCATAAATGTTGAATGTAAAGTTCCTGTCTCAAATATGACTTAAGATTTCATGTGATAAGATTTGATAAATGTATTTGTAAGAAACTTCTGAAAGCGAAATAATTTGTACATTGATTTTATTGAACGGAGATCTCGAGAACTACCTGCTGAATGAGTGTCCTATGAAATCAAAACAAATGACTATGAGGTGTAAGATACTGACATCTTGTCTATATGCTTACACTGCATGATAATAACCAAAATATGTGTATTTCTTTATCATGTATTTCTTAGATAGAAACTATTGTTCATTAAGCAATATCTGACACCCTTGGTGTTTACAACAAATCAGACATTTAATTGAGAAATTCAACATAAAAATTTGATTGTCACATGCTTTTGTATGAAATCACATCAATTGCAATTCAGTGGAACAAAAAATAATCCTGCCAATCATTGGTCCGGTCTATATTTAGCTGGCATATTGATTTGTGAATTAAATTCAGACAGAAATAATATTTGGTGATGCATCCACAGATGTATATGTTACATTCAATGTTGTCAACAGTCACCTACCAGATTCAAATATGTATCTTGTGGTGCTATTGTTTTGGGTGTGAACTAGGTCAAGGTTGTATTCAAGAGGATCCCCTTCAGCAAACCTGGTGATACATAACTTCTCCTTGGTGCCCTGCCAGAGCTGGCGTGGCATTGTGAACAGGTATCCTCTGCAACCAAACGTACATATCAGTATATTAATCATTGTAGGACAAATGAACTGCCACTTGGCCTAATTAATGAGGTTTAAAGAAAGCACAGACCTTTACTTTCAACTATGTGTCACCTCTTAATCTTGGCCATGTTGAACCAAGTGGATAAGGGTTTGCATTTAGCCCATAATACCTGAAGACAGTGCTGAAATATTTCACTTTATCACATAATATCTCAACAGAATGCTGAAATATTTCACTCAACAGAATGCTGAAATATTTCACTTTATCACGAATAATTTCACCTTATCTAAACAGAATGCTGAAATATTTCACTTTATCATGTAATATCTCAACAGAATGCTGAAATATTTCACTTTATCATGTAATATCTCAACAGAATGCTGAAATATTTCACTTTATCACATAATATCTCAACAGAATGCTGAAATATTTCACCTTATCACGTAATATTTCAACAGAATGCTCAAATATTTCACTTTATCATGTAATATCTCAACAGAATGCTGAAATATTTCACTTTATCACGTAATATCTCAACAGAATGCTGAAATATTTCACTTTATCATGTAATATCTCAACAGAATGCTGAAATATTTCACTTTATCATGTAATATCTCAACAGAATGCTGAAATATTTCACTTTATCACATAATATCTCAACAGAATGCTGAAATATTTCACCTTATCACATAATATCTCAACAGAATGCTGAAATATTTCACTTTATCACATAATATCTCAACAGAATGCTGAAATATTTCACTTTATCATGTAATATCTCAACAGAATGCTGAAATATTTCACTTTAAATATTTCACCTTATCACATAATATCTCAACAGAATGCTGAAATATTTCACTTTATCACGTAATATCTCAACAGAATGCTGAAATATTTCACTTTATCACATAATATCTCAACAGAATGCTGAAATATTTCACTTTATCACATAATATCTCAACAGAATGCTGAAATATTTCACTTTATCACGTAATATTTCAACAGAATGCTCAAATATTTCACTTTCTCACATAAAATCTCAACAGAATGCTATAAATATACCAATTTATCACATAAAATCTCAACAGAATGCTCAAATATTCCAATTTATCACATAAAATCTCAACAGAATGCTCAAATATTCCAATTTATCACATAAAATCTCAACAGAATGCTCAAATATTCCAATTTATCACATAAAATCTCAACAGAATGCTCAAATATTTCACTTTATCACATAAAATCTCAAGAGATTACAGAAATATTTTACTTGATCAATCTACCATTGGACATTTTCTCCCTTTTTTTAACTGTATTTTCTGGGTTAGAAACTGCATTGGTATATAAGCTGTAGAGCTGAATTTTATGGATTTTTTTCCAATTTGATCGACATACAAACCGCACTGGAAAATAAGCTGCACCCTTCCTAAGGAAGTGGTAACCTTTGCATTGCCCAAAATCTGTTGATATAACAGACAATAGAAGGCAATTTATCAAGACCATCAGTGAAACATTTAATAAAGGTTGCAAATGAATCATACATAGACTATCCTTTATTTTATTGATGTATTTCAAAAACCATTTAGTAGCAAATGTCAAATTTGTTTGGCTTGGTTGCCTTCAGCTTGTCTACGCAAAGATATAGGGCCTGAAGTTAAGTACGTTTTACTAAACAATCTCTCCATTGGTGTCTGTACTATTAAATATTAACGAAGGCCTTTGTATGCTGACCAAATTCTATAGTCCAATATATATTTTTTTTTTTACATGAAGCTATTCATATCATAAACAAGCATGGCATGGTGGTCGCTTAAGAATTTGACCTGTAACCTGATGACCTTATGATACCAGGATGCAAAAGGCTATTGTAAACTTCCACTACAGGTTCAAAGTAACCGTGAAAGGCTATTGTTAACTTCCACTATAGCTAATGTTGTTCATATTAAAAGGAATGATCCATGAAAATGTTCCTTTTTTATTTTAATTTTCAAATTATCCAGTAAATGATAGCAAATGGCAGTTATAGACGTTCTGTTTCAGTCACAAACATGTGACGGGCAGGTACAAAACGCAGTAACGCCTTGTAGTAATGTACTGGTATGCTTCCTGTGTTTTGTTTCCATCCACATATATGCTGCAGCAGTATATAAAACACATGCCAAACTCACGAGGAAAAAAGATTCCACTTATAATCCAGAAAATACAGTATTACAACAAAGAACCAAAGGAATTTGTAAATCATCCAGCATATGTTTCTCATAAAACTTTATCAAACAACTGTAGACCAATGCAAACATAATTTGATAAAATTTGCCTTTTTAGAAATACAAGACAGAAGTAATAATTCCTGGAATCTTCAGGATTTTCCCAAGGTATTACATTGATTTGCAGGTGTATATTTGCATACTAAAACAAGAGGCACATAGGGCCTGTATCACTCACACCGAATCTGGGCAAAATTCAAAGATTCCTAATGGAGGAGTAGGATTTTAAAGAATTTGCTGTATTTCCAACATTGGGCCCCATCCCTCATACCCTAGGATGAAGAGATCTACCATTCATACAATTCATTCCCCTTCGCCAAAAGATGCTTATGACCAAATCTTGAAAAGTCCAATTACTCCTACAGAAGAAGTACACTATTTTTAAAAGAAATTGAACTATTTCCTCTACTGGGGGCCATCCCTCAGGCCCCAAGGGGTCAAAATCTACCATTTATCATAAAAATTGATCCCCCTTCACCTAAACATGATTCTCACCAATTTAGGACAAAATTCCAACTGGAGGAATATGATTTTAAAGTTCTACTTCCCATATTGGGCCCCACTTCTCATGCCCAAAATCCACTGTTTATGCAAAATTAATTTCTCTTCACCTAAAGATGCTTCTGTTCAAATTTGGTTGTAATCCAATTATTCCTACAGGAGGAGTAGAATTTTAAAGAACTAGTCAAATTTCCCCTTTCAGGCCTGCCCCATCCGACAGGTCATGGGAGGCCGGGACACACCATTTATATAAAAAAAATGTTCCGCTTTCCCTAAGGATGCTTCTGACCAAATATGGTCAAAATCCCCTCAGTTGTTCATGACTAGTAGCATTTTGTAGAAAAAGTTGACTGATGACAAATGACAGATGCCACAGTATCCCTACAACTCCTTTGGCTTAAAGTGCCAAGTGAGATAAAAAAAAAACCATCACCAGAAAACAGTTCCAAATATTAGTTCCTGAAAGGTTGACATGTAGCTGGATTCATATGACTGAACAAAGATGAATTATATATTAAAAACATTTTAGGTATTGGACCCATAATAGTATGCTTCTTGACTCTTAGAAATGATTTTTTGGGGTTTGAAAGGCCATATCTATTTCATATATGTTTTGACTTTCCAGATTTGTGATTTGAATTCTGAAATTGCCAAATGTCAAATGAACACCCTGGAAAATCTCTCTTCAGTTGATAGTGGTTTGACTCTCCATAAATATTCATTGTGTCAAACTGTGTCACATTGTATACACATTTAACTATTACAGTTACTTTCAGGAAGCTGACAACAATGGGTGATTCCCTAATGAAGTGGCAGAAACTACAGACATATACACCTATTATATCCAGTCATAAAACACTTGAAATTCAGACACCACATGTGTAAGTGGCCACAATCATTCTTGGCTTCAAGCAAATGAAGATTTTTAACAAACTTTCATGTTTTTCTTGAATGTGAAGTATAGTAAACTAAGAAAATCAATGACACTGATAGATATTGCTTCTTGTAGTCATTGCAACTGAATTTGCAGGTATGCATACAAATCACCTATCTAGGATGTATACATGTAAAATATCATTTATAGGCAAGAAATAGGGAGACAATTTATAGAATATCTTACCATCTTACTTATATCCAGGAGACTTCACTGAATAAGTGCTAGTTACAATTAAGTCAAAAACTGTAGTTCAATGTTCTTCACTGGTAAAAATGTGCAGTAATTCTTAAGATGACAAACTATTTCAGTAAGTAGGAGGAGAATGAAGTTTGAGGAAACCTCTCATGCTAGATTTAATCAGTAATATCACAAGTGTTCAGGTTTCATAGCCACTTCAGAAAAATACAAGAGGAATGCAGCAAACCTGACGACTCTTTATCTCACAAGCAAAAATGTGATGTCTTCAAAGATAGTCCCTAATGACAGAGTACTAATAAAACTCCTGAAACAATCTTTACTTAAGTGGGTCAAAGGTCAAAATACAGGTCACAGTAACTTATTTCAGGTGATCATCATTCAAACAAAAGTTTATATAACATGATACTTCTCTGGTACCAAAATATTTGCATAGCCAAAGCAGTTAAGTCAGCCCACACATGTAGATATGGAATGGTACAATGTGACAAGATGTGCAATGGACCAACAATAGCAAAACAGGATGAAATAAGTTACTGTACATATGTGTGCAGTTCTATATCACATATATGTGAGATTCTATCATGGTTGGTAAGAATTTAGAATTCACTTATAGATATATGTAAGTGTGGGATGGGGTTTATTTGCTCTTAAATATGTAAAAGTACAACGAAGTACATTTCCTAATTAGGTGATAAATCTACAGACTGGACACATGTAGATCTATTAGATACAGGCTCAATACATGTAGTTATATACAATCGTAATTCAAAGTGGTTTGTTTACAAAGTCCCAGAAGTGTTCAGCCTCTGTTTTTGTCTCAGCAATAACTATTCTAAAATCTCCTACCGTCACAAAAGATATCTTATTGTCATTACTTCTTTGTTGCTCTTATTTTTCTGTCGTTTTGAAAGAAGAAGAATTATATAATCAGGTAAATCTTAAGTTCTGTGTTTGTTACAAGGGAGACCTAGCCGGTAAAGATCCTGACCTGTCACATATACATACCAGAACACAGGTATTTTTGTTGCCAAAGACACAACTTGCAACTCTCTGAGGTACGAAACCATACTATAAAAAAGACTAATTAATGCAGGGTCAAGACTTATTTCGAAAATTGTCAAATTAAAATGACTTTTATAATCACTGGTCAATTTTAATAAGCCTATGATCAATATTAAGTCCAAACAACACAAATTTTCAGTTTAATTTTTAGTTCGTAATATAAGCCAGCCATATTTACCAAATGCACAAAATGTGCAACACTATCGCACAGTTGTGCGTGAAATACTGTATAGTGCATGTGTCCATGCACACAAATGTTTACACGCTTCTAACATAAAAGAATCTTCTGTAAAATATTCATGATGGCATCACTGAATGTAACCGTAACTTGATGCAATGAACTACAAGAAGGATACTGCTGGTCATATCACTGTTTACAGTACGTTAATAGAAGGGAGGTAATTTTAAGTGAAAATAATAAATAAAATCTATATGCAAGTAATCAAACACTGCTGTTTGTTAAGGTTTGGATTTTACACATTAGTCCTTCATCCAAGGGGAAGAAAATCTGCCATTTCCCCTATACAGTACTCTGCAAATATCAGGCTAGTTCCCAAATCAATCAAAATTTCTATGTACAATCACAGGAATCGGACATACGTGAACTGTTGCTATAAAACTGCTTAAATGATATGATTAATATTTCACATGTACAAGATTCTACATGTACATTGTATGTCACATCACACGGTATAATTTTAATTAACTATTATGAAATTAGGTGAAGCGCTATTCATTTAACACATACCATACATCATTTCCAAAATATTTATCATAGTTATTCAAAGATCTTACCTCATGCAAGGAATTATATTAGTCTTCAAAATATGCAATCGCGAATACCAGTATCAATTCCGATCACTTGCGTGTACAAATTAAAAAGTAAAAAAAAATGGTATTCCAAATATTTCGGTTAATTTTCTTCATGTTGGTATTTGGAATACCAAATAGTTAAAGATACAGCATTTGAGACATATCAATCCAAGAACAAAACGATAAAAACACATTGGAAATGAATTCTCACAAAAAATCGGAACACGCACGGATATTCCTGCTCAACTTGAAATTTTAAAGAGAATTGAACAATTAAGAAATTTGATTATTTCTTCTATGTTTAGACTACATATGATTACTGTACGGATTACTTACGCCTCTGAGGACAGGACACCGGTTACTGACATCAAAAATAACACAACCTCCCTCATCGTTGTACTCTGCTCCTCTGCTCAACTCTTTCGCCGTCAAAAACTTTTCCCCGCAGTTTGCTGGTCAACTTACTACCAACGTAACTTACAATAACAAAATAGTTCTCTATATAATGGCACATTACTCACGAATCACTTTATCTTTATGCTCATTGTTATATAATACATTAGCTCGTTTATTTATGCAATTAACCGTCTCCAAATAAGATAATCTCTGCCAAATCGAAACATCATTTGTGAAGACACACCCCCTCCCTTCTTTGCTCTCTCCCTTTTCAGTGAACCGCGGATTAATTCTACCCGATGGCTTCAGCAACAAAGGTTCCGCGTAACCTTTGACCTGCCGACTTGTAAACATAAACAACTGGCGAGAAGCCACGTGCATCAGGGCTCGTCCGCTGAACGACCGAAAGGCTGTAATAGTGGACATAAAACCTGTTAAATAAATAAATACCACGTGCGTAAGCTCACTAATTTGTTTACCATGCTTTGCTCGTGGGGTTTCCGAAATACTTGATTCGGAGTATTTGAAAGTACTTTATTTAAACAAGATTTTGGTCTTAAAATCAAACAATTAGTTGAAATATCTAATAATAATGAATAATAGAATTCATTTTCAATTTGTTTTCCATAGGTTTATGCAGGGACCTATATATACGTCCCTGGTTTGTGCAGGGACCTATATATACGTCCCTGGTTTATGTAGGGACCTATATATACGTCCCTGGTTTATGTAGGGACCTATATATACGTCCCTGGTTTATGCAGGAACCTATATATACGTTCCTGGTTTATGCAGGGACCTATATATACGTCCCTGGTTTATGCTATACTATTTACGATATGGAAACAATATATCTATCACAGAATCTAACAAGTGTGATTTCTGATTTCAGCCTTTGCTGGTTTATATTCATATTGCTATTTCACTCTATGAAAACATAATGCTAATTATTTCCTTTTGGTTTGTGAAACAAAATATCCTTTTCGTAATCAATGTTTTGAAAATTGTTTCAAACCCGTGAACAATATTATTGAATATATGTACATGTATCTTAAATGTAGTGAAAATCATTGTCCAATACACTTACAGGACGTACATATACACATATAATATGATATACATATACACATATAATATGATATACATATACACATATAATATGATACACATACACACATATAATATGATACACATATACACATATAATACGATATACATATACACATATAATATGATATACATACACACATATAATATGATATACATACACACATATAATATGATATACATACACACATATAATATGATATACATACAAACATATAATATGATATACATACACACATATAATATGATATACATACACACATATAATATGATATACATATACACATATAATATGATACACATATACACATATAATATGATATACATACACACATACAATATGATACACATATACACATATAATATGATACACATATACACATATAATACGATATACATATACACATATAATATGATACACATATACACATATAATATGATATACATACACACATATAATATGATATACATACACACATATAATATGATACACATATACACATATAATATGATACACATATACACATATAATACGATATACATATACACATATAATATGATATACATATACACATATAATATGATATACATATACACATATAATATGATACACATACACACATATAATATGATACACATATACACATATAATACGATATACATATACACATATAATATGATATACATACACACATATAATATGATATACATACACACATATAATATGATATACATACACACATATAATATGATATACATACAAACATATAATATGATATACATACACACATATAATATGATATACATACACACATATAATATGATATACATATACACATATAATATGATATACATATACACATATATGATACACATATACACATATAATATGATATACATATACACATATATGATACACATATACACATATAATATGATACACATATACACATATAATATGATATACATACACACATATAATATGATATACATACACACATATAATATGATACACATATACACATATAATATGATACACATATACACATATAATACGATATACATATACACATATAATATGATACACATATACACATATAATATGATATACATACACACATATAATATGATACACATATACACATATAATATGATATACATACACACATATAATATGATATACATATACACATATAATATGATATACATATACACTATAATATGATACACATATACACATATAATATGATACACATATACACATATAATACGATATACATATACACATATAATATGATACACATATACACATATAATATGATATACATACACACATATAATATGATATACATATACACATATAATATGATACACATATACACATATAATACGATATACATATACACATATAATATGATACACATATACACATATAATATGATATACATACACACATACAATATGATACACATATACACATATAATATGATACACATATACACATATAATACGATATACATATACACATATAATATGATATACATATACACATATAATATGATATACATACAAACATATAATATGATATACATACACACATATAATATGATATACATACACACATATAATATGATATACATATACACATATAATATGATATACATATACACATATATGATACACATATACACATATAATATGATATACATATACACATATATGATACACATATACACATATAATATGATACACATATACACATATAATATGATATACATACACACATATAATATGATATACATACACACATATAATATGATACACATATACACATATAATATGATACACATATACACATATAATACGATATACATATACACATATAATATGATACACATATACACATATAATATGATATACATACACACATATAATATGATACACATATACACATATAATATGATATACATACACACATATAATATGATATACATATACACATATAATATGATATACATATACACTATAATATGATACACATATACACATATAATATGATACACATATACACATATAATACGATATACATATACACATATAATATGATACACATATACACATATAATATGATATACATACACACATATAATATGATATACATATACACATATAATATGATACACATATACACATATAATACGATATACATATACACATATAATATGATACACATATACACATATAATATGATATACATACACACATACAATATGATACACATATACACATATAATATGATACACATATACACATATAATACGATATACATATACACATATAATATGATACACATATACACATATAATATGATATACATACACACATATAATATGATACACATATACACATATAATATGATATACATATAACAAAGAATATCATACGTCTTTAGTACATGGAAATCATAAAAGTATCAGGCTTTAATCAATCAATCAATCAATCAATCAATCAGTCAGTCAGTCAGTCAGTCAGTAAATCAATCAATCAATCAATCGATCAATTTGTCAGAATACATGTTTATATACAATTGTACATATACACACACATCGAGCAAAAACAATAAATAAAAATATATAACATACTCGACGAACATTAATAAAAAACACCAAAATTGTATTAATCCGAATAAAATGGTGCCTTTCAGTATGAACTGCGCTAAACTAACTGTAAGTAAATGATATACTTCCGTATTCTAAACAGATCGATTGAAATGCAGCCGAATATCTTTCATTTGTACAGAAATTTCAAGTTAAAAGCAACAGAGGACAACTCAGGGAGTGGAACGGGATGATTAGAACGGGATGATTGGACATCCAACAATGTTATAGCAGAGACATATATAACAGGCTCCACTTGTATTAAACATCTCAACTTGAGATTTCCTCAAGTCGAGATTTTCCTCAGCTGATATCCTCAAAAACGGCTTGTATAAAATTTTCTCAAGGAACAAGAGGAAGGCATCGGCTAGGATGTCCTGAAATTCCTTGAGGAATTTTCATACAAGATATTTTCAAGGAGATATTAGCTGAGGAAAATCTGGGCTTGAGGAAATCTCAAGTTGAGATGTTTTATACAAGTGGGGCCAGGTGTTATATACGTCTCTGGTTATAATAACTTGTGTCTGTCCCTTTTACTAAATGTATTTTGACAATGAAATGTTTTTGTTTGTTTAAGGAGTGGGATGGGATGTGTAAGTTGCATAACAACATGTGCATTGTTCTTACTTAAGGCTAGCGCGCACATGTCACAGTTAACCTCTTATATTGCACCTCGATCTCACACAGACAGCTACCACTCTTTGTGCAAAGGTCAGAGTTCAACATTCTGAATCCACCATAGCCATTGACGTTGTCAGATATGATGTTCCTTATCCAATTAATTACGTATCATAGTTTAGGACTGTATGAAACTGAGCATCGTAACAACAACTGCACACATATTTGCTATCACCACAAATACCACTAAAAGCACTGTGCCCCCACGAAAAGACAACACGTTAAACACAAAGCATTGTCATGAGCAATTTGCTATATGTTGCGAGTATTCTAGGTTTTTAAAAAATAAAATCTTGGTTATGGTCTTGTTGAAATAAGTGTTTGAAATTCTTTTCATCACACATTCTCCCAATATGCCTAGTTTTACCATGCCAGTTGTAGATGGGTTGTGACGTCACTCGGGATTTTACATGACGCACTAATGGAATCCCCATCGCTGGGGTTTACTGACCTTGATCTGTTTACCTCTAGCTCATTACGCGCAACATGGGCCATCCTTAACGCGTTCTTCGAACGGACTTTCCATAACACAGATGGTGTTAATCGGTGCCAATAT